GGCATTCTCAACAACAAGAATAATGATGAATATGATCTCAGTCCTCTGAAGGATCCTGAACCTCCGAAAAAAGTATCATAAGCTGTCTGGTAGAAACTTAAATTAGATGTGCATTAGGAATAAACAAACAACACTTAAAATAAAACTGCCTCAAAATAATAAGAACTTAGGTGGAAATAAGGAGCGAACGAAGAGTTCGCCAATTTTGGTACACCTTCAACTAATGGAACAGACAATTATTTTGGCAACTTTGGTTTCACATTTGACACCCCCCAAAAAGAAACCAAAAAATCAAGTTAATAAATTCAACAGCAAAATAATCACAATTAAAATGATAAAATTAATCCTTTCTTGGAATTCAATTAAAATTCTTGGATTGGACAACCATAACCGTAAAATAATAGTAATTTTGGTTGCGCTCAACAAACATCGCAAATTAAGCCATTGCAGTCACCATAATAATAACCAGAAACTAAACCTCCCAATAAAACAGATGCATAATATAATAACATGATTACACCGCAAATATTAAACTCATAAAATCAAAATCAATTATTTAATTAATATAATTTTAGTAATCAATAGTAAATATAAGAATAATTAATATAATAACAATAATAATAATAATTACTTTAGATTCAATAATAATAACAATACTAATAATAATAGTAATAATACTAGTAATAATAGTAATAGTAATAGTAATAATAATAATAATAGTAATAATAATAGTAATAATAACAACAATAACAATAATATCAATATCAATAATAATAATAAGCATTCACTTTTTAAAGTATCCAACCATAATCAAAATAATCATAATAGGCTGATCTATTGGATCTTTTTGAATCTAGTTAACCTTAACAAAATTAGATCAATTACTCAACCCAATAATAAGAATTCAAAAAGAGCCACTCCTAAGCTTCTTTAATGCCAATTCAAACTTAGTCCTAGATTACACCTTTATAATCATCAATTCAACAAAGCCAAATCTAAAATAATCTATATCCTAATCAATTTAACTATTAGTCCCAATCCTAGTATTCAAATCAGCCATAAGCCACACAACAGTATTATAGAACAACATAGTCATTATAACCTATGACTTCCTCATATTAATTATAAACACAAAAGCATATGTCAAAAGAATTGGAAGATATGTTTGACCAACCCGCCTAAGTAGTTTAGCCTCCAATTCAAAGAAGGTCAACGCCTTTTGATGATGATCTATTTGCATGAATTATAGATTAAGAATGAATAAAAATTACAATAAACAATTATTATTTTAATTAAATTAGCACAATTTATAATTATATCAACCAAATCCATATCCTTCCAAACCAATAGTAAAGGCAATATCTAATTTTTATTTCATTTAGCCATAGTTTGCATATAGTGGAACTTCAATCGATTTAAAGCAAGTATGAGCTAAGGGCAATTTACGAATATCCAAATTACTCTTGAATTCAACTGATATTATATATGAACCCTAATCAAATGGAATAGTAGAGGAACCTATGGATAAATTGAATAAAAACCAGTAATGAATTTTAACATGTTCTTCAGCGTTTATGGGTCGGCTTGGTTGATATACGTTTCAAAGTAAGATTTGTGATTTGCCTTTCCACCAGAATATTGTATTTTTTGTAATACAACATCAGGCTTAATCTCAAGTAATCCTTAAGTGAGCAATGATATTTCAAAGGGCTTCAACCACTTTTAGAAAATCTTAAAGCAATTTAAATGGAAATTACCTTTAAATCAACTACAGTCCTAAATCCTTCGATAAATGATTTATAAATTTCTTGGAATTATTTATAAATAATATATTCTGCAGTTTTGTCTAAATACTAATGAACATTATTTGAAGTCACAGGCATGACAGATCCATTTGGTATCAAATCAATAGTAGAATTGCCTATTTAATAAGTGAAATCCAAATAGAGAGATTCTATTGTCTCAGGACTCATGCTTTTAAGATTAGCATAGTTCGAATAAGTTTATTTATCCCAAATTAAGACTAGATCTTCAAACACAATCTTTTCATCATAAACAACCTTCCAAAACGGACTTATAATATCAATTCCAATTAAGTAGCCATTAGCTATTGCATTGGCAATTAACTAAAAAATTGATTAAAATATCTTATACCTTGCCAAATAATAAAGCATATTCTTTTTTATTTTTTATTTTGTTAAAATTGCTATGCAGAAAATACTTCCCCAAATTACCTTGAACAGGCTGAAAGAACTTGTAAGTGTCATCTTTAAGAGTGTTGCCAACCATATCATAAAATTCTCTCTTGAGTCCTCCAGCATCAATACCAGGTTCATCTTAAAACTTAATAGTGAAATTATAATTCATCTTCTTATCGGCCAGAACTAATAAATCCTTTAAGAAACTCAATCTTCTAATCACTAGAGAGTAGTCAGTTCTTTTAAAACTTTTTTCTAGTTCTGCTTCGAATTTCTTTCTTCTTTTTTCTAAACAAACTCCTGAGATCTTAATGGGTAGAACTTTAAAATTGTAATAATAATTTTCATACCTTTTTTAACTTGATAGTTAATCAAAATCTTTATTTCGGTCTCTCGTTCATCTGCTTATGCATCGTCAGGAGAGAAATGAGCTTTTGCATTCATAAATCCACTTTTAGTCAAATTTTGAAAATTAACTTACAATGTAACTCCTTCATTACAAGTAATTTCACATTTACAATCCAAGTAAATGTCGTACTCAATATCTCCATAGATATTTGAATAAGAATCTCTTAACTAAAAAGTAAAAGGAATATCTTCGTAAAATGGTATTGTTTGTAATTCTTAAGGGATCTCAATTTCACTCTCCTAGAGATTAGGCATGTTGGCCAATATAACATATCTCCCTTTGATTCTGACATCATCAATGTACAATTTATAGACTCCTTTAAAAATTGGAGTCCAAATTAAATTTAAGCCAGATCCTCCCTGCTCTTATTTTGGAATGTATTGAATTTAATTGAATAAGGAATGCACAAATACGATAGTAGAGTATGAGAAATTATTTATACGATTCCCCAGACTATCTTTAAACTCAATGTAATCGATTCTTTCCTGTCCAGCTCTCGATGCCACTCCAAGTTCTTATTTACTTAACATATTTATTGTATTGCTCAATTGCAAATCTTTAGAGTGAGTAATAGGTTCACATTCCTTATGGAATAGTACCTCATCCATCTTTTAATTTGACTTCTTCAACAATAGTTTCATCATTTTTGCTTCCCCAATTCCAAAAGCTACTTGCTCTTCTTATTCAACTTCAACTAACTTAACTTTATTTTCTATGGTAACTTGCTTGTGTGTTGTTTTGCTTAAATCCTATGTGTTTTAAGTAGTGTATTCAAATGTTATCTGAGATCCTAATTGATCTTGGACCATCGATAGTGTATGTGGAGGCAGAGCTTTCAATTACATTTTTAGCACTTTATCACTAAGAAATTCCAGCATCAACACTCGATTTGTTATAAATTTGTAGGAAACCTAAAGTTGTCCTTTCTTTTTTTCCTTTTTTATCAAATTGGATAGATTTGTGTTCTTTTATTTCGTCTATGATATATCTATCTTGCTTAATTGAGGTTCTAAAGGCTTATTAGATTCAACATCGAATATCATTAAATAGAGAGGATTGCAAATATTTTATTAGTATGTGTTTTAGGAGAAATAACCAGGTAATGATTTTGAAGTGCAACTTTTCAAGGTTTAGAATTTAAGATGAATTCCATCTACCTTAAAGATAAGGTAAATTGAGTTAAACTATTATGGATTAAGAACTTCTAAGCCTTAGATTCTCCCCTGGTCTAAATTAAATACCAATATTTCAATTTGAGATTTGTCATCTATTCCACTTAATAGTTTTCGAGGTTTAAGTACTAAACTTTCTAGAATAATCTCTGGTTTTTCAAATTTGATCTTGTCGTTATATCTATTATTAATGTAAAATTGATTTTTGTTCAAGTAATCTAAAAAGAAATCACAGATGTTGAAATCGGCGAAGGTTTCATAATTAATTATTAAATGAGAGCCATCCTAAATAAATTAATAGATTGTGTTCTTAAATTCAGTCTTTATTTCTTTCTATGCCAAAATGGATACCTTTAATTTAATATTTGGATTAATCAATGTCAATAACTTAAACAAATACTTGGCCAATAATATTATATCAACCACTGTCTTAATGCTTTCTACTTAAATATCTCCAACTTCTACTATGTGTAAATTTTCATAGGTAAAATAGGAGTCCATCTTATTGATCTAGAATTTCAAAATTAAATTAAATAGAAACTATGCAATCTGATCTGAATCTGGCACTTGTATATTTTCCTTACTATCAATCAGAGTATAGAATTTTAGAGTCCTATTTTCATATTGAATTAGTTATTTTTGAGTTTCAATGCTTTTTTCAAAAATAAATTCAACCTTTTCGATAAATGTTTTTATGAAATTGATTTTGATACTCTGAATTGATTAGATGTCAAATAGGTACTGTAATGAATTATTCAACTTTGGATATGAGTAACCATCTTTGAATGTTTAGTAACCATATTAAAAGGATTCGAATATTGTTCCTCCAACAAGGAGACAATCTAAATGGTAATTGGGATTTTAATTCAATTAATCATCAAAATGTAGAAAGATGTTTGCCAATTCAGTGTGTTCATTAAGGAATTTGATTAGGTTTTTTTATAACTACTGAGCGACTACATTGGTTTCAAAGTGACAGGCCATACTTACAGATGCAATTTCAATCTAATCAAATTTGAACTTGTCTCCAAAGATACGTATATAGACAGTTTGACCTTAAACTAAAGATTGCTATTTCTTAAATTGATGGATGGCAGCAAAATCGAAATTGATTTAATCAGGGAAAATTGGAGTCAATTAAGTTAAGCTTAAATCATTGTAGGAAGAAACGAGACCATTTCCAAAGAGATTATCAAGCATGTCTTATTTATTGAATTCGTCTTATTCGCATTAAATTTAACTCATTAGAGACACGAATTTAGGTTCATTGCATTTTGATATATTTCCATCTTGATCAGTGAAAAATACATTTAAGATTGATTAATTAAAAATAGGATCAGATGGCCAAATAGGCTGAAATAATACTATTGATACTAAGTCTTCGATTTAAACGTAAAGGAGTTCATGATGCGAATATGTATATCCAGAATAATGTGCTTGATTTCTAGTTATTCTATCATGTGTTAAGAGAACTTCACTCATGTAATCCAATTAAGAAAATAAAAAGTGTCCAGGCTTAGAATTATACACTAATTAACATGACACCAAGTTGTTTTTCTGATTCTCACAATAAACTATCATACAAACATCTCCTAATTTACTATTGTTTACATAATAGTTTTTAGATATCTAAAATCCAAAATGATACGATAATTTGATATCACTCTTTTATGTGACCGAGCATAATCTCTATAAAATCTTAGATTTCTATTTTAATTGTAATTATCTAGTATTTGATACTATTATGTTCGTTAATGGTTAATTCTATCTCAAAGCAGATAACAAACATGATAATCTAATATTAAACATTTCATCAAATCTTTCAGCTTTAATTTATTTGAGTATATAATTGTACAATTCCTCTTTAAAATATTTATTCAATTTTAATAAGATATACCAGATTTGTTCCATCTCCTTTAATCTGCTTTTGCTATTCTTATTCTGGCAGATCTTTTAGATTTCACTTGAAAAGATTGAAGCTAAAGATTAGTGATCAACTGATAAGGTAATAGTCTTATTTAGAATCTTACTCAATTAATTTGAATAATTCAGCAAATGTCGATCAATGTCCAATTTATTGAATAAGTATTACACAAGTTATTCAGGGTTGAATATTTAATTGTAGAAATCATATTCATTTATGATGCTGTGGAAATATTCCTATATAATTGGATCTGGCTTAAATACAATTCTACTAATTTATTGATTCTAAGCAACTTATTTGTCTTATTGTATGATTTGTTCACTTTAATTGCATATCCCAATATTCAACCTGATGATCAAGATATGATTGTAAAGAAGATAAGTAGTATTACCAAATTAGAAGATTCTATCTAATCCTTTCTTTTATTTATTCTGTATAAATTCAATCCCTTACTATTCATTGAATTCAACATAAACCCCTCTGATCACTTTTAAAACCTGCTATGCTTTTATCAAATTATGGTAAAGCAACTAGTGTAAAATCATAATCAAGGTGTCCCAACTGAATACCGATTCAATTATTGAATATACATTAATCACTTTATTTGTTACTTATTACATTTCAACTAATTTACTCACAATGACTTCTAAAAATGATATTGTATTTATTCTCCAGACCAATTTGCTCTGATCTTCACTTCTACCCAGCAATTACTTCACCTTTTCTATGAATGTAACCAGTTTTGTAAATATCATCTAAATATTGTATGTTGAAAACAATTAATCCTAATACACAAAGTGTTAGTTTTTAATATAAAATGGAAATTCCAATTTCCACACTTGCTATTGTTTCTACTCAATCACACTACTGATAAATTCATTATATCTATAGAAATCTTAGATTATCATTGAAATTACAGTATTCCCATTGTATTTATTAATGAATTCCTCTTCTGATAGTTTTAGCAAATTAATGACTACTTAAGGTTGAATGAAATGATAAAATTCAGCAAATATCAATTCTTTTTAATTTTTGTATTTCTTCTTTTATCTCACCTAATAGGTATTGTCAGGTAACAACTCAAACATAAATTGGAAATCTTCCTTCATTATTTGTTATTGGTTTATGGTTGATTACCTCTGCAACTGAGTGCCTTATGAAGATACTCCCATTTGGCTATGGCTCTAATGAATTAAAGAAGGAGGCTGACCCTGAGATTGAAATAGTTGCGTATCAGTCTACCTGATCTATTCATGTTAATGAGGAGCAAACACATCATCTATTTAATAAATACCCACTTTATCAAACTCCTATTCCATCAGATTCTTGAAGAACAAACACTTTTCTAACACATTCTCCTTTGAATTGATAATGATTTCATGAAAATCTACTGTTGTGATTGAACTGAAATCAAAGTTCTTCCAATTCTCCTAGATTTCGTGATATTGTGTTAATTCAACCTCTATGTTCATTTAATAATTTGCCATCTTTAACTGTGGGATAGCCTTAGAAATATTGGCTTCGGATAAATAAAATGAATCATCTTCGAATTAAAGCGGGATAGTGAATCCCTCTTATTCATAAGTTATCTACTCTTATCCAAAGACAAGAAGCACGTTTTTCTTAAAATTAGTCATTGTTGTAATCTCCTGGCTCAATCGGTTGATAAACCCATTAATGATTTCATTTATCTATTAAATATACATAATTCCCTTTAAAATGGCTAATTCCTTTGAGTTCTGCTTTTCTAAAATCTATTCGAAATAGGAAGTGTCCTTAAATTTATAATTTTGATTTAATAAAGAAAACAAGAAGATCTTACTATTTTCAGTTAAAAATTATAATTTCTTTTAGATCTTTTAATCAAATTTTAATAGATTTAAGTAGACTTCCTTAATGATGACTAAATGTTTTTCCTTTATGATGACCAATTGTTAATATTGATCCTATTAGATGCACAACAATAAATAAAAGGCATAAGCAATTTTTTAGGGCATCTTATTTTTATTTGTTGCTATTTTTTATTCATTTTTATTTGTTGCTACTTTCAACTCATTTTTACTTGTTGCTGCTTCTAACACTTTTTTATTTGCTGCTACTTCCAACTCATCTTTATTTGTTGCTTATTCGAACTCATTTCTATCTGGTAAATCATGCTTTTCTTAATCTTCATCACTATAAGATAATTACTCAAATGATAGCGAGAAACTATCTCGGTTAAAATTTTCTTGTTATTCTTTTTATTGAAAAATTGACTTCAGGTATTAATCCTAATGAAATTAAATATAATTAATTAATTCAGGAGTTTGGTATAAAGCATGATTCACAACAATCACTGTTGATATAGTAAAAAATACTGGATCCGCAACTTCAATGAATAATTTAGGATAAATAGCAGCAAGTTTATCGTAGATTGGATTCTGAAATGTTGTATATTTCTAGCATTATTCAAGAATCATCCTACATTGTTCCTAATTCAAATTATAGGATCCATCATTTTGTCTATATTCCTCTAGGTATTATTGCAACAGAATAGGATTGAATTAGTAGTTGCCTAGCATATTCCATTTGTTCAATCCCATATGGATGGTCAATAATTTATTATTGAAATAGTAAATTTTATCCAAATTAAAAATCTAATTCATGCAAGCTTACTCATATTAGATGAGTTATTATATTTATGCTTGTCTAATATTTTCATTTTACTTGAATTCTAACAAGGTACAACATAAAGGGAGATACTTTTAGTACAACTAAATGAATTTGGAAAAGGGAGTGTTATTAATTTAAGGTTAGATTGATTAAAAGTAATTAATATCAAAATGTAAAATGGACTTTAAATGAACATGATTGATGATACTTGAACAATAATTCAAAATAAAATAGTTTTTTCTCATCAATGCCAGACTTAAGATATCCGTCTCAAAATTATCTCCTTCTGACTAAAACCCTACTTCACTCTTATCTTGCTGCTCCACATAATTAATTAATAATTCTTTATTGAGAATCTTGATAGCCTTATTTTCCCCATGAATTTGAATCATAAATGGTAAGTATATTTCTTCAAACAACCGTTGTCTCTTCATTAGCATTAAGTAATACAGAATCGGTTGATTATCAAGTACGAAAATTCTGTTTGTTTATTTGACTTCATCCTTAATGTAATGATTGTAGAATTTTATAATCTCGTTGTCATTATAATTTCCATAGATGATCAATTAGAAAATGTTCTATTCATAGACGAGCAGATTGGGATTTTAATGAAGTGATATTATGTAATTTATTGTTTCAATATTCCCACTATAAAGAGCAAGAACCAAGTTTTTATAACTGAATTTTGGTTTCTACAGGATGTGATTGTGTTTACCATAAAACAAGAAAACCTAATTTGAAGTCAGATTATTTATATTAGAAACTCCACTGATGAATTTCCTGAAGAATTCCATCCTTAATTCGAAGATGTGAGTGTAAACGTCATAATTCTTTTCAGGTAAAATATTAACTTCATTTTTTGCATAAAATAATGTGGCTGAATTGAATTTGATTGTAGATAATCCTTTATACTTCTTTCTCATAATAGGTACCAATTTAATATTCTGATATTTCATAGTCATCATAATGTAATCTAAATCCTCGTGACTGGGATCGTATTTCCTATCCTCACATATGAACTCAGACACAAATAGTTCCAGCATTTTAGGTCGTATATTTCTAAAGTTGTCAAGTATATATTTATTAAGAGAGCTTGTACAATTGACTTTCAGTAATTCGATGTATTCTTTTGATCTGTAATCTAAGATTTTGGGTCCATTCTTTTTCAGTAAAAAGTATTTGATTAATATTTCTACTAATACTTCTTTTTAATGAACCTATTGTTTATTTGGATATCGAAGGGCATACATTCTTTCATAAAATGGAGATAATTAAATCAGATTCTTTTAATTGGCCCACTTCTAAACAATCTCAAAACACTTCTCATAATTTTATGATTGTGAATTAATACTAGATGAAAACAAACAAGAATAATTTTGGTTCTACTTTGAATATGCTCTATCTTACTCATACATCAATTAGGATTCTAAATTATTAATGTATTCTTGCTTTTTTTATTGATGATTAATAACCTTCTGAGAATTATCAAACTATTCCTGAGCTCTTTTAGTGATGGATGCAATTGAGTTCTTTTATTTTAATTGTTTCCGTTCCAAAGTATAAGGATGAGTCGAACTGAAATACTAATATCTCTCCATTTTATTCATTTACTAAAGGTACGCTTTTAGAAAATCTTACTGGTGATCCAATAAGGATTCATTATAGGGCTAAATCTTAGCTTCTATTAAGATTGTTGCAAGAACCTTACAGAAAGTCTCCTTGTTTTGAATATTGTCAAATGAACCAATCAACTCATTCAATATTTCGATCTTCTCATTTAATCCCTCCCTTAAACATAATAAATAATCATTGTATAATTTCTTAATATTGAACTTGTTCTAAATCAGATACCTCTTATATTATTAACAGTTCAATGCAAAACATGGTTTATGTTTTAAAGCCAAAAAATAATTAATATATTCATCATCTACACTAAACTGACTACCTAACATGAAATTCATCTTCCTTTTATTTTTCTTAGCATCCTGCTCCAAAAATCCCAATAAATAATTTAAATATTCCTCGTCTTTATTCAAATAAGCCTTTGCATATAAATTCTATATTAATTTTATCCGATCTTTCAATCCTTCTTGTTTAAGTAACTCTATTATGATATTGCAATTTTGAGGTTGTCTCTGATCAAATGCCACCAGAGATAACACCTTCATAAAAATCAGGGTCTCTTTTTCTAATACAGCTCCTTGAACTCTTTATAATTGATGAGTCATCAGTTCATTATCTTTTTAACATATCCTTATTAAAGAAGCCCCATAAAATTCTAATTGATCATCAGGCATATTTTTTATCAATTCAACTTTCACTTCCTTGGATCTGCAGGATAGTATAATGTCTCTCAAATGACCATTTTTCATTTAATATTCTAAATTTGGTTTAATCAAACCAAAAGCCTCGATATTTATGAATGAAAATAGGAAGCAAATTTCATCTCTCCTTAAATTAAAAGCTGCTTAATCTTAATAATTTACATTTTCGAATAATTTAATTAAATCTGCATTAAATTTCTCAACTTCCTCATCATTTTACTTACAACAATTACCTGTAGGGAAATATTCATGAGCCAAAATAGAAGCTAAGGTGTCGAAGCTAATATCACACCTTGTAACGAAATGATATAAATTCTCAAAGGCTTTATTCTGTATTATATGTTTTAAGGATAATTTGTGAATTAAGAACTTTTTAATTCTGGGTAGATATGATTACACTAAGTCCTCCAAACATTCTTTTATTGTTATCAATGATACAGCAAAGGGCTTGTGGTTTTACAATGCATAGAAAACAGCCTTTTCTTTGTAGTTCTAAGCCACAGGATATTCCTTAGGATACACCACTAAATTTGGGCTTAATCCAGACAATGACCAATCATAGTATTTTTCAAATTGATCTCGCTGAATGTTAAAAATTGTAAAGTTTATTGTTTCATCTTCTTTTACAATAAAAGAAAAGTTGGATTTAATCTAATTTGCATGAATGAAGAGTGAAGAACTCCAAGGTATAGGATTATTACTGATTTCAAAGTAGTCATTCAATAAATGCAAACCTGATGGGAACTTACCAAAATTATCATTGAAGTTTAGTTTAATTAACAATTAGGCTTCCTTTTCTTAATATAAATTACATATTTCATCAAACAACTTTTGTTTCTTTGCTGTATATTCAAACTCCTTTTTTTTCAAGAACTAAATAAATTCCTTAAAGTTATACGTTTAACAATTTGTAGCCTTAAATGCATACAACACTAAAACAACTCTTTTTGGATCTGTTTCGCTAGGTTAATTTTTCCTTCCCTTTCTATATGAAGGGTCATCCTCTGTTTGAAAATTAGCTACAAAAGTGATATTCGCATAAATTGAATTAATGAATTGATCATCTACTGATAACAGTTTATTGTTTAGAAAGAGTTTTCTAATAATATGTAAGCATTCTAGTTCATTTTACTATAATTATTACGCTTTATAGCATTAATCAAACGATTTATCATTCAAATCTATAAGTTGGTTATAAATACAATCAAAGCAATACAACCTACATTTTGAACTTGCTTCTAAGTATCCGTGTAAAGGGACTTTTAGCAATTAAGGATTTAAGTCTATTGATTCTTTGATAACTTCAATTATAGGAGTTAATTGAGATCTATCTTATGTTTATTTGAGTATTTAGATCAATTTGGATATGAATTGTGATTAAATGTTGATTTCATTATCATTCTCGAATTGTTATTTATAATAGGGTCTTAGTAGTTCAACTTATTGGTTGATTAAATCAAACTAATTGAGTTAAACTAATTAAATGAGCAATGGTCTCACAATGCCACTGAATTCATATGGATAATGAGTGGAGTGCACATCAAAATTAGTAATCCAATTTAAATTTATTTTGAATTTATGTTTTATTAATTGCTTTGCAACTTAAATGTACTGAAAATAAATTATATCAAATTTATCATAATTCTGTTCTTCATATTATTTGATTCTCAATCTCTTTGGAGTTTTGTTATTTTGGATTGAATAAAAATATTTTGTACTTGGATTTATTCTTTGTTTCCTCCACTCTAACTGATTTCTTTCAGCTGCTGAATTTAAGACCTCTAGGTAGATATGGTAGAAATCAAATTCCTTTTATAAATGCTAGCTTAAGAATAAAATGATAAAATCCTAAGGTTCTTTCTAGGCATCCAAGTATGTGACTAAAGGAATCTATTCATTATAGGGTTAGACTAATAATGATTTTAACAAATCCTAATATTCATTCAGTCTATCAATAATGGATTAGATTTCAGTATTAGTTCTTGGGGATTTATTTAAACAAAAACAGTGGATTAAATTTTTGCCCTGTTTTGTTGAAAAATGCAATGATTTTTCAACATAGTATGGATAGAGGGTGATATATTCATTTATGATATGAAATGGGGCATTTTAAAACAGCATCATCATGGGAGTGACTTATGAAATATTTGGTGACAAATAATAGTCATTGGAATATTGCAAGAATAAATCCCATTTTTGTTTGAGTGCAACTTAATGGAAGATGTTAAACTGTAGGTGGATCAAAACAGCCTTATCCACACGTGTGACAGTACTTTATCCTAATGGTATGGATTTTGGTACGATTAAATTTTGAAATTGATAATTCGTTTTAGCCTCCTTATATGTCTTATAATAACAATTTAATGACTTGAAAATTTCACTTTATAAAATGAGCTTACTAATCAATCCAAATAGTTTCATTTAGGTATAATCCTTCATTTCTTTATATGAATCAATATTGATAAATTACAACTGATTTAAAACGCGAACAATTTCCTCTGAATAGAATATTGATTAGATGAATTTTATAGTTTATTCTATTTTCTCTTTGCTCTTAAACAAGGGCTTCATTTTGTTAATGAGTCGAATAGCAGTGGCTTATTACATCTACTTATTTGGCAGAGAGTGATTGAGTAGGACATGTTCGATGATCTCATAATCATCGACGTAAAGGAGGATTAATTCAATAAGATAAAAGTTATGTTGATTTATTAAGGATAAGATATCTATTAAAGATTTATTGTGTTTTAAGCAAATTTCCTTAAATTTATTAAAATTAGTTTACATTCAAGGAGTCTAATTTTAACTTTTTGGAGTAAATTTATTCTTCTACTTCTACAACGATATTCATCTAATCAATAGAACATTATGGAAATTATTTTTTAAGTGATCTCATTCTTTTTAAGAACTATCTAATCGCGATTGAGGTTATTTCAGGCTCTAAATGATCAAAAGTAATTTTACTTGAATTTGAATCATCGAAATCATCTTAATCAGAAACTTAGTCTTCATTTTGCTGTTTCGACATGTTCAATTCCTCTTCCTACACCGATTTTTATTGACTCTGCGGACTAGAATGTTTATTTAGTAATTTCTACATTGATAAACTTGTCTTATGCAATAATTACTGGGGAACATAAGTATTAGAATTTTGCTAATCTATTTGAACTTGCTTTTAATTTTCATTTATGATTTGCTATTCTGAATCAAATTGATCATTATTCTTCTGTATCTGTTATTTCTATTTTTTGAGTTATGCTCTGGGATTATTATTTTCAGGGATAGAGATTTCATTGGCAGCACTGGCACAACAGCCCATTTTTTAAGTAATGTATAAATATTAATATAATTTATTATTAATTAGAGTAATACGTAATTACATATAAATTCTGGTCATTTCAGGAGAATCTAAATAGAGCCTATTAGATTCAATTGTTTTTAAATTCATAAAGATTTGTCTTATGAACAGAGATCTGAGTTCCGTGGAATGCTTTTTCAGGATGCAAACCACCAAAGTCTGATTGTTAAGTGTTCCTCTTATTCCCAATCCTGGTTTACCGTGGTATTTTAGATGCGTGTTTGGATTTCTTGGTATTGATTTCATCTTGAAATGGATCATCGCTAATAGAAATACATTTTAAATTACATTAATTTTAATTTTCGTTTGATTCTCAAAGCCTTGTTCATAGCCAAATTATTAAAGGTATACAATGAGAAGTTATTCCCAAAGTTCTTTCTTTTGTCTATATTCATCTTCAGAATCCTAAAGGCTCTGGGTACAACCACACAAGGGTTGTTCCAACTGAAATAAAACCGAAAGTTTTTCATCTATTCAAAATTTTCCAACTCCATCGATTAAGAAGGACAAGAGCAATCGAAAACAGGAACAGACATCTCTTAATTTTGAGTCTGAGATGGATTATCTTGGATCTTTAAAGTTCTTAGAGTTTTCGTAGTTTTTGTAAGATTTGTTTTAGAGGACCGCTTTTTGAATAGTTCTCTTTTATCTGGAAACTAGTACTCTTATGAAATTTCTCTAGTGTCCTTTGACAATCGGCATTTCCTAATTTGATTAGAAAACGATTGCCCTCTTTCTCTATGTTCTAATTAAGTTTGAGATTGAATGTTATTTTGAGAATCAATCTTCTTTACTTTCTTTATTTAGCTATTTCTTTAATGAAGTTATTTCTGATTCTCATTATTTGATTACTAATGCTAATCAATCATTTAGGAAAATCTGAAATCATCTAATTTCTGAAGATTCGATATTGAGATATTGATCGATGATTGCTGTTATCTATCTTAGATTGAATCAGTTAGTTATTCTTCTTTGATGGAAGCCAACTTATTATTAATTGAATCTGAAACAAAGAAGCCAGCAGTTTGATTTTTTTATTTGGGTTATTTCACTCTTGGATTCTGCATACCTCCACTATCTTTTGAACTATCACTTTCTTAAATCGGTTGAAGATGGTTGTCTTATGATTGACTCCTATTTTGAGACTGTTGTCTAGACAATCTAGAGAGACTCTTAGTTTATGAGGCTAATATCAGTAATGTTTGTTACAATACTCCTAGGGAGAGACAGCTAATTCACTTTGAGAGTCCTCAAATTCCTCATCCTCATAAGAGGCATTATCAAATGCATAATTGGTTTGGAAATCTTTCACAATTTTATGATTTATTTTAGACTCCTTAAGTGTATGATACTTTCTTCTACTAGCCTTTCTTCTTTCATATTTGCAATTCCTTTCTTATTGAGATGGATAATTCTCTTTCTTAAGGACTCTTTCCTGATCAGCAACATAATGCAAAACAGGACAATCCTTGATGAGATGAGTGAATTTGCTACACGAATAGCAACTCAACTTAGCAGGTTGGTAATTGTTACTCTCCAGAATGCTATCTCTCACTTCACAAAATCTTTCCTAACTTAAATTCTCTATAAAAATACCATGTCTAATGGAAATTACGCCAAAACATTCAATAGATGCAACCTTGAAATCTTGTATGCTCTAGCAAAGCCTACACTCTTGGCAGATGCAGTTCTAGGCATTCCTGTAAAGAAAGCGTATTCTCCAAAAGAATCTCCTTTACTCAAATACGATAACTCTCTACTATTACTCTCATCGTTGAGATCCTAAAATTAGATGCAAATTGTTCCTTTGGTTATCATGTACATAGCTGCATCATCAATAGTATCTTACACAATTATTTAATCCTCAGGTGAAAATCTTACTTCTTCCATCACCAAAGATAGTAATTTTAGTGTTTTCTAAGAGAATTTGGCTAGCAATGTATTTGTTCTCATTACGTTGTGTCTAATCTCGAAATTCAGTTCCTCCAATAAACTATTTGATAACTTTGATTTAATCTGTGAAATCTCTTCATCATTAATCTCCTGTTCCTCTGCGAATATATAATCATAGTAATTTCTAATTCGTTGTTACAACTCTGTCTGAATTTGATTTTTTATTAAATATTAATTCAATAGATTTACGCTTTTCTTATATAACACATATCTGGAATTTAGATTGGTAAGCATCAAACCTATTGAATTAAACGAAAATGCAAAAACACCGCAAGCCAAAAACATACTAAAATTTGCACAAATTCTCTCTGCTTGATTCTAAGGTGTCAAATCCCCATATCCCACAGTAATCATAGTTTAAACAGCCCAATATATAGCATAATTATATTTTTGAAACATATCAGGGTCTTAAACATAGGTGTCTATCCATGTTTAACGATGACCCTACTAATAATATGCAACCCCATGCCATAAACAAGCAAATAGATGTCCTACATAAATAACCATGAATAACAATTTAACCAATTCTATGAAATCTTAATATAAACCAGTAAAATGAAAGAATCTAATTTAAATATTATATTTATACTCTTCCAACTTTCGAACTCTATCCTAAAGCTTAAATTATCTGCTACAATAATAAATTAAATATGGACATATCTGCCATCCCAATCTATCATGAGAACTGTCTATCTCATTCTCGATTCCAACCAGAAGTGCTACGAATGACAACTTTCATAGATTACGATTACATACCAAATCATAAATTCCCTAGCTATTTAGGTAATTTATAAAAATCTTCCTTCTTGATCGTATTATCACTCCTTTTTCTATGATGGAAGTATTAATAACAACAAAACTGTCAATTAGGATGCTGAAGAGAAAAAACTTTTCAACACTTTTTACTGTCAGTTCCCCAAACACTTTTTATTAGTAGGTTACACCAAATGAAATATTAAAGGGAGTCCAAAAAAATACAATTATTGTGGTGAGAATGTGCAGAAATTGCCATCCTATCACAAGATTGCTGCTTTGATCCAATATCGGGAAAAATTTCAGACGTTTACATATTTTTTAAAGGCAATTTTTTTTGACTTTTTTGTGTGAATATAAATATCTAAGATCATCCATTAAACTTCTTTGGTAATCGCTAAAATGATGAGATTTCTTCACATATGACTTTTGTAATAAATTCTCAATGAATCTATTGAACGAGCTTTTGGCAATTACTAATCTTAAGAAATTGTTAATCTATGAAGAATTATTTATTTGGGCTGTGTTCTTGAGTTTAGTATCATTTGATTCTTTATTTATTTCGAGTTTTGATGTTAAAACCAAGGGATTTTCCTCGATTATTGCATCCTGATGGGACATCGATAATTTTTAAAGTTCTAAAGCCTTATCCTACCTTGAAGACAGAGGATTATCAATGATTTAACTTCCAATTGAAGGTGATTGGATAGGGTTATCCCCTTCATCCAATGGATCTACTTTTTTAGTAAATCGAGCAGGCCCACCAGGACTTTTTTTCTGAGAATCATCTATATGACTTTGATTTTGATCTGCCTAATTCTGATCGACATTATAACTTTACTCAAATTCAATAAAGATGTCTGAGATCATTTTTGTTAATTAATATATATTGATATTTTGATCAATTTAAATTCTTATCTAAGATTACAGTACTAGCAATATCTTATGGATGGTAATTACTAAACCTAGGTTGCTCTGTTTGAGAAATCGGTAATTAGGGAAGTTTAAACGATTAATAAATTGAATTATTTTTATTTATGCTTCAAAATCGAATATTAAGAATCATTCAAAGAACTCCAAAGTTTTTCTTTGGAAACAGGAAGCCTCCCAAAGGGTTTGAAAATTTCGAGAGACCAAGAGTAGAAGAAGAATAAGGAAGAAATAGGTTGGGGAAGGAGGCGAAGGAGGAATAGTAACAAGAGCAAGAGAGATAGGAATCCCAAACATCCAACAAAAACAATAAGGACTTCAGTTCATCATCAAAATGGAAGAAGCAATAGCAACAGCAGAATCAACCTGAAGATTAAGATAATCAGAGCAAATTGCTTTTCACCATATCAGGAGCATTGATTGGATATTACTTGTTTGATTATGTTTTGTCTGACAGAGAAACCCGAATCAACATCACTCAATTCGTGAATCAGATCTATCCTACTACAAAATCAATAGAAATCAAGCAATCAGTCGATTCCGAAGCCATATATGCTCATATCACTTCGGAAAAAGGAAATTACAAGTTAAAATTAGCTAATCCTGACACGTTCTTAGAAAATCTAGAATATCTGCAATTGAAGGCAAATGTGGAACCAGAAAACCTCATAAAGATATCATTCAAAGAGAACTCCAATTCACTATTAGACAGAGTCTTGGACTTGGTGCCCTTTGGTTTTATGATATTCATTTCTTACAATGCGATTAGATTTATTAGACTATTTCGAGAAAAAGGACCAGGAGGAATGATGGGAATGTTTAAATCGAATCATAAATAATTTTAGATGGAATAGAATGTGAAAGTCAAATTCACAGATGTGGCAGGATTGGATGAGGTGAAAGTAGAGATTAAGGAGTTCGTTGATTTCTTAACAAATAGTAAAAAGTTTAAGTAATTGGGTGCTAAGATTCCAAGAGGAGCATTATTGACAGGACCTCCAGGAACAGGTAAAACAATGTTAGCAAAGGCATGTGCTGGAGAAGCTGGAGTGCCATTCTTTTATGTAAGTGGTTCAGAGTTTGTAGAAATGTTTGTGGGATTGGGTGCAAGTAGAGTTAGAGATTTGTTTGAGTAGGCTAAATAAAAGAGTCCTTCCATTATTTTTATAGATGAAATAGATGCAATCGGAAAGAAGAGACAGGCAAGATTTGGTAATGATGAATCTGAAAACACTCTGAATCAATTGTTGGTTGAGATGGATGGATTTGCTACAGATCATAATGTAATTGTTTTGGCTGCAACCAATATGGCTGATCAATTAGATTCTGCATTAACAAGACCAGGCAGATTGGACAGATTCATAGAAGTCACCTTGCCAGATATTAATGGCAGGAAACAAATCTTTCTGGTTCATCTCAAACCACTGAATTTGGATCCATCCAAAACTGTTGAAGAATATGCAAACAGATTGGCCACACTCACTCCTGGATTCAGTGGGGCTGAAATTGCCAATTTATGCAACGAAGCTGCAATCCTAGCAGCTAGATAATCCAAATAACATGTAGATGCACATGATTTTGAGATGGCTGCAGAGAGAGTTATGGCTGGTATTGAGAAGAAAAGAATTATCTCTGAAGAAGAACGTAAAGTAGTTGCTTATCATGAAAGTGGACATGCTGCCGTAAGTTGGTTTTTAGAAGGTGGAGATCCCTTATTAAAAGTAATTATTTATCTTATTGTTTCAATAGTTAACCATCATTCCACGTTCCAAAGGGTCTCTGGGTTATGCATAGTATTTACCTAATGAAAGTGCTCTTTTCACCAAGTAGGAATTACTGGACAAAATATGTTGCATCTTGGGTGGCAGATGCAGTGAGAAACACTTCTTCAAAAGAGTAACCACTGGTGCTTATGATGATTTACAAAAAGTCAAGAATTTGGCTTATAACATTGTGACCAAGTATGGGATGAGTGAGAAGATTGGCAATCAAGGCTTTAGAGATGAGAATGTCAATTCGTTTAGTGATGAGACCAGCAAGGTTATTGATGATGAAGTCAGGGAGATCATTATGTAGTGTACCAAAAGAACTGAGGAAATCATTGAAAAGTATCATCAACAAATCTAAAAATTGTCTGAGTAGTTATTAGTCAAGGAGACTCTTGATCTGAATGATCTTATTACTATTTTAGGTGAAAGGCCTTTCCCACCTAAATCAAATTTTAAGGAATACTTGGATACTAAAAAAAGAGAAAAAGTAGTTGCATGATATTAAATATTATTTTTACAGTATATTATCATAAACTGAGTGGAATCTCTATTGTATCCAAGATCTAATTCATATGGTTAATCATTTAAATTATAAAATTTATAATTAAATATGACAATTTTATATAACATCATCTCATTATAGAATTTAGTTCCTATCATCAAAAACATATAGAAATGGACTATGGGAATGGTTGCTGTTCCAATGACTATTGCGAAGAGCATTCTCGATCATCTGAGTTTATATGGAATAGTTCTGATTCTTACTGTTGTACTCCGAAAAAATATTTTTAAAATATTGTCTATATAATTAGAATACTTTAAATTTTAATTCATTTATATATAAGAAATAAATCAATGTTATCAGAAGTCAACAAGGAGATTAGATAGGATTAATTGGTTCCTCAATTGAATCAAGCTCCCAGTAGCACATTCTTCGTGTACAATTGTTACATCCCAGTTGTTTAAGATTTTATGAATCAACCCCCCACATTGCAAGTCCGAAACTCAAGTAAATTAGCTTAGATAATGTAGGCGAATCTTTCCCATAAATATTGAAATAAACAGATAGTTTGCAAATGGGACACCTTGGACCTGGGATGTCTATTCCCAGTTTTTAATTTGGAGCATCTACACCCTTCATTAATGCAGACGATGTCATGAGAAATGTTCAACCACAAACTACTCAGAATCACTTCGCATCATTCATTTTAAATGAACAACTCAAACCATAGAATATGCCTTAAAAAAACAGAATCATTGAAGGTACCCAAATTTTGTGTGACGTTGAAATTGTGCTCATCTCTCGTTATTTCGATATGAAAGCAACTGTAAATGATTTGTCCGATTAACTTAGTTATTTTGCTCTCCCAACAACAAATACAATCTAAAAGAGGACACTTCCATTTCAAATTCTGAATGGCTTAAAGATAGAATGTCCTACAGATACAAGAAACCTGTACGATTATATTTCAATATTCTTAGATCAAGGAATCCTTCTGCGATATGATCGAAGTTATTCAAAAAGAAGGCGAGACTAACATGAAGGGAATCATCCAACCGATTAAATTCTAATAAAATGGTTTCGATTCCATAGAACGGCAAGTGCCCAAAAGTGTGAAATTAGAAAAACCATTCTCACTTTTCATCTTAGAAATACAATAACTTATTTCTTAGTTTCTATTTAACATCTATTGACGAAATAGGACTGAATGTTGTTTAAATGTTTATATGTTCCTTATTTTAACGATTTTCCATATATTATTTAATCAATATGCATCAATAATGTTTCACTATTCCATATTATCCATATTCATTATTAATATTAAAATGGATAATATTTTAAAACAACAATATAATTCTTATAAAACTAGTATATATATGTAAAATAATAAAAAAATATATCTACTCAACCCCATCTATACATTCCAGGGGGATAGAATGGACGAGCTATCATTTTATCTGAAGATTGATATTTCTTAATTGCGGGTAAATTTACAAAGTTTTCATTATGCTTCTTTAATCCCACAGGAGTTGTAAAAGCTTCTGGGTTGTAATTTCTTAAAATCTCCTCCGCTTCAAACAATTGAAAATCAATGTATGTCAAATTGTCTCCTACAGCCCATTGTCGATTCTCCAACACTTTGCTAAGCTTCTCAGCTATCCAAAGCACTTCTTGATTGAAGAAGTTTTCCTTCTTTGCCTCAAATTGGTCTTCTGGAATTGTGAATAATGCAATCAGACTTTTGAATAAGTCTTGTAGAACACCTCTTAGAGATGCCAGAGTGACCTATTCCTTTGGGTTTTGGCCCAATAACTCAGGTTTATTGGCTCGATAAGCCAAATATACATAAAGTGCTTGGCTTTCAAAAACCAATTCATCTCCATCCTTAATATAAGGTAAGTTCGCTAGAACATGCTAATTGAGTGGAGCAGATGTGATATCAGCAAACCATTCTTCAGGTTTGTAATACCTCTTTTCCTCATATGGTAATCCTAGATACTCTAAATAGAATCTCACTATAAATAGTGATTGTAAATTTACATGGTTAAGCAAGACCTCTGATAGCTCAATATCCCAAGACAATTTCGTCTCCCATTATTTAATTAAATTAATAACCTGATTTAATTTTAAAGATCACATTTAAAGGGCGAATAAGTATAAACTGTTATATTCGATAATTTTAATTTTCAATATTTTTGTATTAATCAATATATGAATTGGAATAATATTAAAAGATATAATAATAGTAAAGGATCTTTAATTTTTGGAAGAATGAATAAAACAAAATTTACATAAAATTGTGTGTGTGTGTGTGTATTTATTATAATTATATATGTATAACTATTTCAGCATAATTAATGATATTAAAATTAATTATTTTTACAATAATAATCGACCTGCTATTTATTATTATGATAATAACTACTATAATTAATAAGGTAGAAATAACTATTATAAATCACAATTATAATCATAAAGTAGATTTTAAAAATAATACATCCAAAGTATTTCTTGACTTTTTTCTATAGAGTTTCATGACATATATGCAGTATTAAAGAACCAAATCAAATTTATACTGATTGTGCTGTTTCGATTTATTAAATTTCTTATTGCATATTTAATTATAAGAAGGCAACCTCCTGTAATTATTCAGCATTAAATTACTTGAAAAATAGAAGGCCAATAATAAGGTAGAGATCCAATTTATGGAAATAGTTGAATCTTTAGAATAAAAATAATGAATGATTCATTAAATTATACAAAGACCATATTCACGTTCCTTGCCAAATTCCACGATTTTCTCGAATTCATCATTGTCTGGAATTTCAACCAACTTAGCATCAACTTTGGTTACATATTTGGATTCCCTAACAAAGCTTTTGCTTTATTATGTTTGGATAGCCGTTTAAGATGAGTTCTATTGCATTTTTTATTATTAAATATATATTAAATAACCCCTTAATCAAACTTATGGCACAGTTTTAGGCTTTAATAACAGTTCACAAAATTGCTTGAGACCATCAATTCCTCTGACCTCGTTTTCTTAGAGTGGCATAATAACTACATGAAAATCATCATATAAATCGATCATTTGATCTAAGTATTTCTTTTGCATTTTAGCTCTGGCATTACACATTTTGCATTGATCATCTAAATTGAACATAATATCTTATTATACCTGGGAAGAGCACTTAGTTTATAACTATGTTATGAATATCTATTTTGAATTTGGTTAGTTCTTACACAAGTCTTTCAGTTTCATACATAGAAAGGAACTCTGGAATGCAAACACCAATGAAAGTTGTTTTATTCTTGCATATATGAATGATATATACTTTATCCTTCATTTATGCATTGACCTTAGTGACAGTGTCTTTCATGGTCTCAATCTTACTAAACATTTGATTCATCTACTGGTCGAATTCCTCTTGTGATCCAAATAGTCCTTAAAATTAAGAAGCCAAATTTTAGAAATTATATCTCAATTGCACCAACTTATTCAATCCCTTCTCCATGATATTAGGAAAATTGAGTAATCTCAATGTGTGTCCAGTGGGTGCTGTATCGAATATAATCAAATCGTACTTCATCTCATCCACAGAACTATGTTATTTATGATCGATTACTTCATCAATTCAGCAAAACTCATTGCTTCATCAATTCCTGGCACTGAACTGATTAATTCAGATAGCAAAGACTTTGTAGCCTAGTCATTCATAAATCCTTAGAGAGTTGGCAATTTTAGTTTATCTGGATCTACGGTGGGATCAATTTCCATTGCACTTAAATTGTCGATTCCTTTAATTAAGATAGGTTGACCTCCTATCTTCTAATCAAAACAATCACTCAGATTATGAGCAGGATCAGTTGAGATTATTATTGTCTATACTTAATTTCTAATCATACTTTCTTGCCACTCTTGGCAAATAATGTGGCTAAAGAACTTGAAGTGGTTGTTTTTCCTACTCCTCCTTTTCCTCCAACGAAGATCCACTTTAGAGATGGATTCTCTAGAATATTCTTTAATGTTGGTTCCATTTATTATTTTATTATTTAAATTTTGATAAATTTTCTTTGTATATCATAGACTTTTTTCTGAATGTTTCAAATTTATATAAAATTAAGATAAACTTCTCATCATTACACGAATTTATAATGAGAATTTAAGTTATCATTAGAAAATATTCAAATTTCTTTTTTTATCCAAGGATCTTCCTTTAATATTTCAGCATGTGGTCTTTGGTCTTTATTATAAGTACAACATCTTTTTATAAAGTTTTAGCATTCTTTCGAGAGATGAGTAGGTATTGGTGGACATTTCAAATTCTATATCGCCTCTAACAACTAAGCTAAAGATTTTATATTTGGCCTAATCTCAATACAACATTTGTATATACCATGGATGTTCTGCTGTTGCCATCTCTATTATCACGCACCCTAAACTCCACACATCGACTCTTCTCCCATATTTCTTTTCCTTCAATAGCAGTTCTGGAGCCATCCATTTGAAAGAACTACAATATTACTGAATAATACCCTTTCATAGACTAGCAAAATTCAGTATCCGACAAATTGATGGCTTCTTTCCATGACGACGATCCAAAGTCAGCGATCTTTATTTAACCTCTCTGATTTGAAAGTATGTTCCCACATTTTAAATCTCTATGCACAACTGCCTGACGATGCAAATAAATTAATCCATCCAAAATTTGAATTGTAAATTTTCTTATCAAAGTTTCATTAAACTTTCCAAACTATTTTAATCTATCAGACAAACTGCCACCTATTTTTAATGTGTATACCATTACCATCCATGTATTCCAAATAAACATTTAACATCCCTGCCTCTCTCATGTATCCATAATATTATACAATGTTTTTATGAGTCAATTTCGATAGAATTATAATCTCATTATCCACTGATTCTATTAATTACTTTCCATCCATTTATTTTACTGCAATAAATTTACCTTGAATGAATCCTACAAAAACATCTCCAAATGCTCCACTACCGATCTTCTTTCCTAATCTCAAGTCTTTAAAATTGTATTCACATCCCACTGCCTTTTAAGAGTCCTCCTATTAATCACATAACATAGGTTTTAGGACCAAAGGAGCTGGTTTCCTGATTCTAAAATCCTTAGGACTAAGCAATGTCTTAGTTTATGGTTCCGGAGAGCAGACTAAACAAAGCTAAGTGATTTAATTTGCACTATCGCTAGGATCGATGCTCTATTTCATTTATAAATAAAAAATAATTATGTTTTTAATCGAAATTTTGAAAACAAGTTCCTCTGAATTCATATTATGATGAATGTTCAAAATATAATAACATTGTAATCTCAATTCTATAGATAGGAAAATTGAATATTTAAAATATCTCTCGTGAATTTTGGACATTCATTCATCTATTTATGAATTAGAATTAATATTTTTTGTATTATTATAAATAAACTATTGGTAATTATTAAAGTAAATAATTTTATCTCTATTTTACTTGATAACGAAAAATATAGAAACGCTAACATTAAAATCGAAATTTGACTAGGATTATTAAAATTTATAATTAAAATCATCGAATAATTTAATGATTGAGGCTTCTTTATTCATAACGCAGTTCAAATAGATTATCTATTCTACTCACACTAAAATTTCAATTTATACTTTTTCAATAATATTAATAAATAAATTCAAAAAAATACTTGAGAAACCGGCATTTTAATATTAAATGAATAAAGCAATCAACCATGATGACAAATAGGACATTATTTAGACTTTTTCAACCAACAAGTAAAGCAAGTTAAATGGAATCTGTGGATACAAAGTAATATTGCCAACTTGTCTCCGTCCAAGTATGTCTAAGCACAAATAGAACACTCTAAATTATCCTCTGACAAATTTGGGTTATGCTTAAATTCAGTTTCAATAAAATTTAATTAATTTCCTTAAGGTTGCTGTTAATTCTGAAAAAATTAATTTCCCTAGTCCTACTATTATTATTAATTTTAAATGATTTATTATTACTATTATTGTTCTTAAGGTAGTTTGTTTTAAAATACGTTATTTATTTGTCTCTATTCCAAAATAAGTTATGGTAGATACTCAGAAGGTATTTAAGGAAAGGATTATTTTATATTATCATATTCCTCTTGTGTCATCTAGAGGGAATTTAAAAATCGCTTAAAGAAGAGTGGTTAATGTTCGTTTTCCATTGACAAAGCTCTTCTGAGATATTTATAATTTCCTTTATTATCAAGATACATGGGAATAAAGTTTTATTAAACCTCATTGGCTTGTATTTGCTCTTCTTCTGGTCCTTAAATAAAATTAAACTGATTTTTCTCAGATTCAATTTAATTAAACTGATTTTCCACTTAAATTTTGTTTTCAAAGTTTTATTATATAATATTTTAATTTCCCTAATTCTCTGCTTTCTCAAATTGTAATAACTCTTCGTCAAAAACCTCTGCAAATTACATAGCAAAATTATTCTTAATATTTTTTTATTTTATTTAAGTTGTATGCTCCCTTTTTGATGCGGTGTTTTTGTTTTGTAGTTATTTCTTATTATTCTTAACATAAACTTTTTTTTCGATTGGCTTCTTCATATTTGGTTGTTATTCTTTTTTTTTCCCTCTTCCTTTATACGCTGTTTAATAATAATTAATACCTTTTTTTTTTTCAGGCATTTCATACATACTCCCTGAATCTTCCATATGATTGCCACTCTTTAAAGCTTGGTTTACTTCAAAGTCAAAGTCATCCGATGAAACCTAAAATTAAGCATCCATTTTCAAATATTATTATAATTTATAATCTCTTATTAATAGAAAATAAGAAGGAATTAAATAATCTTTAAAATAAATGGTAACAAAAATTCATCAAATATAACAAAACCAAAAAAGCCCTTGATTAAATCTCAGGAAATAGTCATGTTTGGAAAATAGACCAAGAGTATACAATATTCGTTTAAATTTAAATAATCTATTTACACTTAATTTATTATTGTATCATGTCATATTATGCTGAACCAATAAATGTCAAAATACTTATTTGCTTAGGAAGCAATATATTTTCCTCTGAGGATATATATATTAAATATTAATTGCAGATATTCTTTAGATCAATTATGATTTGAATAATTCACTTAATTTCTTTTTTCAGTTTGATTTTAGCAATAAGTTATTGATCATATAAAAGTATATCAAAAAATAAATCAGATCAATTAATCTTTAAACTATTTGAAATATCAAAGGACTCAAAATAAATATCATGGTTCTTCTGATATTTATAATATATCTATTGGATATGTTTAATAATAGATCTGTGAATGAATGTAATGTTATCAATCTTTCTTTACTTTTATTGAGTCATTCAACAATTTAAATTTGATTCTAATTAAAGTGTGAGAATTATTATAAAATTTATAAAATGTATGGACATCATCTCAAAGATTGAATAACAAATCTGATTAATTTTTATAATTTCTCATGAATTATCCTTCAACTTAAGTTTAGAGCATTTTAATTTGTGTCTCTGCTTTGATTTTTTGTCCCTTTCTATGGCATTCGACTCGTCATCACTTGTGCATGTGTCAGATTTCTCATCTTCATCTAATTTATGAGTAAACTGTGCTCTACAAACTAAAGGGTTATATATTTGTTACCATTAAATTTTAATTTTCCTGCATTTTCGTTATCAATTGTATCCTCTGACCATTAGACTGATTTATTGGGTTATTTAGTTTTCTTTCTTTTTTGCTTTGATTGTGTTGGTTCTTATTGCATCTTATAAAAGTGAACAATTGAATTACCTAGACTTCTGTTTAAGTTAATGATATCATAATTTAGTAGGGATTATATGAATATTAGAATTAATATAATGTAATCGCTCATAAAAAACAATCCCATTACAGGGAATACTGTTTGTAAAATCCAAAATAGAGGCAAAAGAACGTTCACTACACATGATCATATTCAGAGTTCTTGTATTGTCAAGAATACTCCTGTGAATAAAACTCCTAACAGACACAAAATCCCAGATCACTCAAATGAGCATTTCTATCCGCAAGATAATTCATATTAGAAGAGGGATTTAAGAAAGAGTTTGAGTACATTTCAACCTAAGGAAAATATAAGGGATCCACTAAGCAGAAAGATTTCAGATATATATGGATAAGAAATAAAAATTACTCGTTCGCCAATAAAATAATAATAATAGCAATCAGATACGGTATCTCCTTAGAAAAGAAGAATAATGGATAATAAGAGTTCACATGTCGATTAGAATGATATCTATGAGGTGAATCTAAATTACAATAAAGAAAAAACACTGCCATCTGATGTCAATTGGTTCTATGTTGATACAATCAAACATAGGCATGATTATAAAATTGAATAACCAAATCCTTGTCGATCTTCATAGAAGGATTAGAGAAGCGTGCTGGATTAAAACAATAAAAATGTTCCATAAAATAATTATTATTAAAAGTAGAACGACAAGCTCTCTAAAAAGTAAGAGGTTGCTCTCTAATATACTTATTTGAGAGCAGTTAAAAGGTCAGAACTGGTGATAAAGAAAAAATGATATTTACTACATTAATTATTAAATTCAACTTGTAAGAAAAGGAGTTAATCAAAATTAAATAGAGCTCATCTACAGGATCCCAATTTCTTTGGCCTAAAAAATTAGTTAATCACAAAGTTTTATCTCTCTATAAAAATATCATGATTATGATTGTAACAGGCACTTCTATTTGAGCTATTATTTCGATGTGGAATTTTATGTTTGCTAGTTAAAATACCAAGCATATTGTTATATTCTCCTATATATTTGTTTGTTTTAATGTTTGAAAAATGTTTAATTTTTGGTAATGCTAATTTGTATTGATTAATTCTAATGTTAACTGGGCTAACTCCTTAAGTATTTTGTTTCTCATATAATTCGTCTGAAGTGTAATGATTCAACTATATTAATTCGCTTCTTTGAAGTTTCGTTAATTCCTACTTTTAATGGGATCTTCTTCGTATAACTAGTTTTTCATCACTCAACATATCAAATTAATATTTTTATTTTATTTGTTCTATTCATAATAATATACAATCTATTAATCTAAATTTAGAAATATTTTAATTTATCAAACATGATTTAGTATAAAAATGCTTCAATCAAACAATTTTAATGTTTATTTACTTTACATAATACAATAAATTAAACCTCTTCTCCTATCTTTTAGAATAAATTAATTTAAACTTTCTGATCTGCTCTACTAAATACTAATCATCAATTCAGGTTTCTATTGAATAAAATGATTTACGAAGAGCAGTAGACTATAAGTATGAATTCATTTTATCTAAAACTATGGATTATTTATTTAATTAAAAAAACAAAAAATATTCTAAGGATAAATAATTGTGCATTTTTTTTAAACTTAGTATAATTATGCTCAAAGATCGTATGATTTTTAGATATTTATTAATGTATTACAACTTATATTATATTATTGTTAAATATCAATAACTAAATAATTGAGTCATATGAGCAATTAATAATTGTGTATTCTGATATATATATATGAATTTTAATTATATAATTGCGTGTAAATTTTGAATTTAAAATGCTCAAATTGCACCAACAACTCTAGGAATAAATCCTTTAATTAGTTCAATTACGGGCATCATTCTTCCACCAGAGGGTCCCTAGTCATCTCCATTATTTTCATCATCAGAATATTCCTCCTATTATTCTTAGGTTTCATTGGAGTCCTATTCTGTTTGACTAGCTTCCTCAACATATTCAGTTTCCAACAGTAAATATTCTTTGAGTAGAGACTTAACAGGTATTGCTTAAACTTGATTCTAAAAATTGGGGTTTAGTATTACTTATTCAAAATAGAAGACTTTATCATTCAATGTGATTTCTGTATCTGGGACATAGCAAATAGCTTGTCTTAAGTTTTTTAAGAATGTTGAAGACAAGCGTGCTATCATTGATAAACTAAAATTGATTAATTTATTTAATGGGTTTGATACAAAATATTACATTCCTTCCGTTCTTCACTTTTTCATATTAGCACCTTGTTGCATGCTGGGTTGATATGTGAAATTTGAAAAATTTTAATTTGGTAACAAGGTACCATTGACAGGAGTGTCTTTAGCGATTTATTTGGTCATTCCCTCATCAAAATACTTCAATTCCTTTTTGTCGAATTTATAAGGTGGTTGGATCTAAATGCGATTGTATTAATACTCTGTGTTAAATGATTTCAGCCAAATCAATGCCCGCAAAGAAATCATGTTTCATGATATCGTAGCCATCATTTTCATATCCCAATCGTTTTTTTGGCTAAAATAATGTAACAAGATGTGATTTACATCTACGACCAACAATTACTCCAATAAAGATCGAGCATTTTCAGAAAGATATTAAGGATAGGGAATAGGTTATGTCAATATCCTTCGAATCATTTCCTTTTTATTCTCTTTGTAATGAGGAGGGGCTCCTACAAGCATCTCATACAACAAGGCCCCAAAACTCCACCAATCACAGGTTTTATCATAGCCAGTTTCTAAGAATGAGAAGAAATAGTACTTGTGGTAAGAATCTCAGGTGCTAAATATTCTGGAGTTCCACATAAACTGAATGCAGTTTCGTCTTCTTCCATCATAATTTTGGATAGACCAAAATCAGTCAATTTGATGTGACCATTTTCATCTAGCAATATGTTTTCTGGCTTGAGATCTCTATAGATGATGTGGTTTTCATGTAGATATTGCAATCCCAATAGTATTTCAGCTGCATAAAACTTAGCTACTTCTTCCTTGAATCTTCCCACTTTTCTTAAATGATAAAATAGTTCTCCACCTGGCATATAGTCTACAACAAGATACAATTTATATTATGATTAAAATGCATATCTCAATCTTACTAAAAAGATACTAGAACATGTTGCCAAAATGATTCTCTCAGTCTCTGTGTGACGTTTTTATCTCTCATTCTTAATATTCTTCTTTTGTAACACCTTCATCGCATAATATTTTGCTATCTCTACAATATTCAATACAATTCGATTTATATTGCACTAACATAACTTTCCCAAACGATCCCTTGCCCAAGACTTTCAACAATCGGAAACTGTCTATGTTTACCTTCTGAGTTTATTAGCCCTGTCCTTCACTCTCATTAGTTTTAGATGCTATGTCCAATTGCCTTGTATTTTCCTAAAATTCCTAAAGCAATCTCATACATTGGACAATTTATAAAATTCATCCTTTTCCACTTGTAATTCAGGATCATCCATCATTTCAGTTTGATTCTAATTTACCACTTCGTTTGTCTAACCATCTCCACTAGCTCCATAATCTTAAAATTAATTTACGTTTGGGTTTCATAATTGATCCTTACACTGATTCCGGTTTCTTAATTTCCTGTCCTCCCAACAATTTCTCCTCATCATAATCTCGATAACACATATTACCCATGTTAATAAATATAATTTATATTAATTTTATGAATATCAGCTTCGAAACTAATATTGCTTCAGAGTGAACTGTGATTTGTTTGTGTAATTGTAATGTAATCAAGTGTTCATTATAATAATTTAAAATATGGAATATTATAGTGCGATTATATTTTGACATTCAGATTTAATTTATAATACGTGAGAACAATAAAAGCATTTTTGAGATTCATGATTTTTAATATACTCAATTTATCTTTTAATATTGCTCAATTCGAGATTTCTTAAAGCATATCAATAAAATCTTACTAATTACTATATGGAATAATCCTATCTTTTGGCCAGACTATCCCTCTGATCAATTGCCCTCTGTTTGCATTGCTTCTCCTCTATCAACTATTGCATGACTGATTGAATCTCTCCTCTAAGAATAACAATACACAAGCCTACTCTAATGATCTTTGTGGTTTCCTTGGAGATTGAGGCAAAATTGTATCAATCAACGAGTTGATAATCGAAACTCGGTCGCAAGGCATAGAACATGACCGGATATGAAAGAATCTACTAGCCTACCTTTCCTGATGCTATTGTCTCAGCTATTCGACCATGACTATACAATGTTGGATCACTTCCTGAGTTTTATTCGGAACAGATGAAATGCAAGTCTAAATTTTGGTAGATGACCCATTCACTGTAGATGCTTGTCTTGTCAGTTTCCTGATGAATTTTAATGGAGATGGTGCGTCCTATCAAATACTCATGTAACTTACAGGGTTGGTGCTACCAGATGCTGGTCTGGTTGGCAACTCCGTGATATACAATGAACTTCTCTTTTTGATCATTATTTTTTTGTTTTATGTAATAAATGTATCTGTTTATATAATAAATCGATCAAGCTCTTTTGCCTCCCAATGATTCCCACAATGATTGCATACACAATTTCCACTCTCCATTCCTATCAAATTCTCTCATCAAGAAATATTGCTCTTGCAAAGTCAAATTAAATCCTAATTCCAACAATCCTTAAGATAATTCTTCAAAGTCAATGTATCCTTTAAGTGATTTGTCTAATTTCCTATATTCATATATGGCCATTAATACTTCATCAAGTCCAACAAGAAAGTATCGAAGTTTGGATATCCATCTGCAAATAACCTTAATTTGGCTATGATTTAAGAGATGTCAGCCTCTTTGAAAACGTCTGGCTTCTATCTCATGTAATTAATGGTGAACTCATCTGCTCTCATCAATTAGAATTTGTAGACATTGAATTGAACGATGCCTCCTAATTAGAAATCCTTAGAATAATCGTAGGAGTAATTACCTTCTCAGTATAATAATCGTTGGTTAATGGGTTCTTTTATCTGGATCTCTCTTAGAATTTGCCACCCTTTTCGAATAATCATATTAGAATACCCATATTCCACTATTCCTTTCAGATGTTTGATACACCTAAACAGTGTCATCCCCGCAGTAGAAGGATATGATGAATCTTCTGGAATTCTCCTCTCTGACTTCGCTGATCTGTCGGGCTTCAAATCTGAGAATGAATTGATCTTGGGTGAAGTTCTTTCGTACATCCTTCTTTGGTGGTTTTGGTTATAAGGAATAGACCGATCCCAAGGAATCCTCTTCATAACCATAGCCGTTATATGGAGGAACTGGCTAATAGAACTTTTTGCCTCTCTCTTATTTTAATGTGGCAGGCCTTGCATAGATTCAAACATTTTACTTTTATTGGATTCCTAAGACATTCAAGTAGTATTCCTTTGTGAAATCATCACATCCGTAAATGAAGCATTCTCTTCCATAAATTTTAACTGTGTTCCCACAAATAAGATCTTGAGGACTGTAAAATTCTTCCTTCTTTAGAGTCATGCCTGGATAATGAGTGAGAATGGGAGCCTTGGGGATCTTTTGTCTTCTCAACATCAAAGGATAAGGATCTTTTCCTGAATTCTATTTTCTGACTTCTTTGACTTCACATGTATCATCAGCCAAGTAATAGTTTAATGTGTAATAATTAAGTTAGCCTTCGATGGAAGCATCATCCCATATGATGTCAAAAGACAAGACTTTTCTATCATTTTGTAAATATTTATTAAGTCCTCCATTGGGATGTCCTCCTCCTAATTTGACTTCAAAATATTCCTTGTATTCTTTGGTATCGGGTGGGTTGATTTTGAGATCTTTGGTTTCTCTGATGCTTTCGAAGTTGTCCCTGGGCATATGCTCTGGCAAATTCAATGGCTTGCCCATGTATTCATAGAATTCTCTGGTGTATGTGTCACAATCTTGAACTCTAAAAACCTAGATTAATAAAATTTGAATATGTACTCTTTCATAAAAATTGACATTTGTACATAATTGAAAATCCTCCCATTTGTAGAAGTCCTGCTTACCCAACTTTTTGGTGATCTTCTGTCTCTTGATAAATAAGCCTTGAGGGATTCCAGCATTGGGTACTCTGGGCTGTAAATTGATATTATTATGTAATGTACTTCAGTCACATGTATTGTTCCATCTGATAAATAGTAGTATATGATGACTCTTCTGATTCTGAAGTTCTCGTTGGGGTTTTCAACAACGGATTCTTGGAAGTAACCGTAGAAACGTAAAACAGCTCGATCGTATTTCAACCATGGTGGTTAGATGCGAGGAATGTAATCATTTTCTGGAGGTTGTCTGCTCCCGTAAGTGAGGTTGGGAGGAGCATTGAATTTCATTGAGTCCATTAGGTTTGGATCGAATTCCTCGTGGATGAAGTTGGTTTTCTCTTGCACAGTGCCGTTGATGTGTGCAAATTGCTGAGTTTTGTGATGATTTTCTTTGAAGGGATCTGAGAAGACATGGCCTGGCAGGAATGGGACTTGCTTTGGGAATTGTGAATTGAGGGACATGTGATATAATAAAAATATAACTGATTATCTATTGTGGGGGATATGCAATATGAAATAAACAAAAAAGAGAGTTAGCTATATAAAAAATTAAAAACCTACCAACATTGAATGGATCCTCAATCTCCTGGATCAAATACCCAAATATTAGCTACAGCAATCGAATATGAAGAAAATTTCAGCAGCTTAATTAAGCAAACTCCAAGATTGCGATCAATTACTTAAATCGAGTCTGTACACTTTCGATAACAAGATCAACAAATTCACTCAGATGTAATTTACACTCTACCCCAACATGCTCATTGGAGACAATCAGGAGTACTTGGTCTTGTCGTCCTGCATAATGAACAAGAAGATAATCCAATATAAGGAATTTACAGCCCAAGGAGTCCAATTGCTCAACAGTCAAGGCAACCTCTTCCTATTCTACGAGTCCTACGTGTAGTAACTGAATGTACGAGCAACTCATTTATTATTTCTAGTGGGAGAAGCAATTGAAGAGATTTTCCAAACTATAAAATTTTTCCAATAAATACACAATTCAAGAGAAACTTTCTATATAAAATCATTACGCCTGTGTAAAGAACAAGAATAGTAACAATTGATATAATCTATCTAGATCGTGTTTATACGGTGCAACTAATAAGATTGTCAAGTTTGAGCGAATAACTTTATGAGGCTTTGATGAACGAAATAAATATCCTAATGTGCTTCAAGCAGAATGGATTGCACTAGTTCCACGCTCTCTTTGAGGACGGGGACATCCTCTACATATTGTATGACTATTGGGTTGGGGATACCCTGTATAAGTTGCTGTAACAAGGCTTTAAATTGACTGCGTCATAGATAGCCCAAATCATCTTCCAGATAATCAAAGTGGTTCGATTTCTGCATTAGAATAATCTGTATCATGGAGCCATCCTGCCCACCAATATCGTGTTGCATAGAGCCACAGGACCGCAGAATCAATCAGGACAGTAATTGAAAATCACTTTATTTAATTTTGCTTATCGTGATGCAAATCAATATAATTTGACTTGGCTAAATAAGAGAGTGCCAAAACAATGGATTCCTCCTGAGTTTAATAATTTACAAATTAAACCGGAATTTTAAAACATTGATGGGTATCAAATAGGAGTGTTGTTGTATTACTTGACTTTCCATACGAACGTAAACAAATCATAGTAGTCCTTTATTAAATCTCTGGATAACTTCAAAGTTGATTATCAATGGTTGAAGTCCATAAAACAAGAATAATAATAAGAATATTCTTTCTCTCTGATTGAGTTATTGTGTGGGCTATTGGACCCAGACTTTTAGAATAGGATTACTTTGAATAATGCTTTGGCTCATTAGTGGTTGACTAATTAGAGGCAGAAATAGAATGGATAGAATGAGAAGCCTAAGATCTTGCCGTCTTTACGAACAATTTTGGAGCTGAGAGAACAAAGTTCTTGCGAAATCCTGTCATCTAGACTTGGTAAGGAAGATCAACTGCATGTAACGAGTTCAAGTGAAGATGATATTGAAGTGTGTGATGATGAATACATACATAGAATTTCAAAAGAAAATAATAAAATACCATATTATTAAAATATACTTAGTTTGATTCCTCAAAAGCATCCCTCTAGAAATAAACAAATTATAGATTAATGTCAAGAGAGTCAATTTTGATTAAATATCTATATATATTTCATTAATAATAATTGAATTATAATAAATTAATTAATTTTAATAAAATATGTTATGTGAAATCTTGCTATGTTGTTCGTGGCTGTGCAATACTTTTTATTCTTTCAATTTTGAGTAATCCTCCATATATAATTTTGAAAGTTGTGGTTATTGATAATTGAGTTGTTAATACTGATAGTATTTTTGTTGTTATCACACTGCAAGGCAAAAATAAAATATTGCATGTTGTTTTCTCCGATTATGATCATCTCACTCAACATAATATGTATTGACTTTCAAGTTATATTTAGAAATCTTGGAGAACTTCAGTCAGTATTCCTTCATTACATTTGTCCTGCCAATAGTAATTTATTAATAGAACGACAAAGAGATATTCCTGAAGAGGTATTTCATGCTGATCAAAGTGCTCCATCTGCTATTGCTGATGCTTTATTATAGTTTGCAAGACATCCAGAACGGATAACCAGTGATCCAGTTCCTGATTGTAACTCTGCTGCTTCTAGCCAAAAACTACAATCAAGAGAGGGAACTGAAGGCCACTCAGAACAATACAACCATAATGGAGGAGACATGCAACCTGAAGTTGCATCTGGAACATGGCAAAATCAATGATACTACAAATGGAATAGTGGGTGTAATTGTATTAAATGAATAGTTCGAAACAATTTATTAGAATAAAAAATCAATTCATTTAATAAAGGACAAATCAATAAATGAACTAATCATGCAATCCCCAACCCTAATTGACAAACAAACCAAATAATTATTGCAAGAATAATGCAACATCAAGTTACAATCAATATAAGACTTCCGAGATTCCCTGATATCGACAACCTTAAAGGAATTATTAGACAGTATCAAGTTAAATCTCACTCTCCCTCATCAGTTAGACGTGTATGTTTTGCAAGGCTTTGAAGAATTTTACTTTTAAATTCTTATCCTAAAGGAGAGTGACGATAAAATACTGTATAATGTGATCTTCTAGCCAATGTCAGACTATACCTATTTCATCAAGAAGAAGCATCAGTAGACAACAATGAAACAACTATTCAAGAGTTTTAGTCACGAGTTGAATACTTCATTGAATTACATATTGGCACTAGCTCAAGTGGCTCAATGTCATGAGAATGTGCCAAAAATAGTATCAGAGAAGTATTTTCTACCGATTTTGCATTGTGGTCGAATCATGCATAGTTTCATCAGTGACATTATGGATTACAATCTAATCTTAAGCAAACAGTTCAATGTGGAGGTTAGCAATTTTAACATTCCACAATTGATAAGCGAAGTTGTTGATCTCTTCAAATACTAAATAAATCAGAAACATCTTAAAATTCAATTCCAAAACAATCTACTCAATTATGATCTAGTCAGTGATAGAAATAGGATAAGGTAAATATTGATCAACTTGGTATCCAATGCTCAGAAGTTCACATTTTCTGGTTAGATCAAAATATAAGTGGGAGCAGTGATTAATAACAAATAATTGTGTGTCATCTTCCATGTAATCGATACAGGAATAGGAATGAAACAAGAAGAAATAGAACGATTGCATCAACTGTTGTCATCAGGCATACCACAATCAGCTAGAATCTCACAAAATACAGTAGGATTTGGATTGGGATTATACATTTCCAACAAGATTGCTGAAGTGCTAAGTCAAACTAGATATGAAAAGGGAGGAGGATTGAGATTCGAGTCAAAGTATTAATAGGGATTTCATGCTTGGTTCATGGCCAGAAATCAATCATTCAGTCCAGTCTATTAATAAAGTAATCCTACACCCATTGTTCGCATTCGTAAGAAGATCTAAATAGATACTATGGAATCGCAAATCAGCAGAGTTAATGCATTGCCAATGAGATAGAAGTTTTCATAGATTCTAGGAATCAAAGATGTCAAATCAGAAAGAGGATTAAGTAAGGAGTTGTCACTCAAATTGTGTAAACCTGCATCCAAAATAGCCAGAGAATTGTTTCTTGCTGCAATTACATCCGAGAGGAAAATTGAATCCTTCAGTATTAATCAAGAAACAAATGATTAAGAGTTTGAAAATAGAATTAAACATTTAAATGAGAATTTTACAAATACTTAGAAATGCAATTGTCCACAGATTTTGATAGTTGATGATGAACAAATCAACATCATGGCTTTGTCAATGATGCTGGATCAAATGGGCTATGCAAGTGATTCAGTATTCAATGGAGAAGAATGTGTCAATCTCATCTTTAGTAATCAAAAGAAAAGTAACTTATAATCCTCTATCTTGTAGCCAAATGTAATAAATGCAGGACTTAACAATATCGCATGATCTTCATGGATATCAATATGCCTATCTTAGATGGAATCCAAACCACTGTCAGAATCAAATCAAAATATGCTAATATTATAGTTATTGCATGCACTGCCTTCTCTGACACAGAAACTCGCAACACTTGTTATAAAAATGGAATGAGTTATCACATTCAAAAACCAGTCAAAAAAGATTAACTAATTGAAATACTATCTTATTATCTAAATTGATTGTTTATATAAGTATTAATAAGTAATTATCTAATATATCATTTATCTTCTTTCCCATATGCTTTGTCTATTTCCGTATGATTCAACCCATAGTCTCTTTTACAAGCAATATGCTATTCATTATTAAAACTGCAAACACTAAAAAAGATACACTAATTTCTAGCCTATTTAATATGGAAGAAAATATATAGAATACTAATAATTGCCAAGCATATAAGTTCAAGCTCCTTCACTTGAATTTATCTCTGGAGCCATTCACTATATATGAATATTAACTTAATTAATTACCCATGTAATTGAGATTCAATGTCAAAACATAAACAAATGAAAACAAACATATTACTATAAACTTAACTATTACTTTTACTATAACGTCAGTGTAGCTTTAACCAATTATTAATATTTGATATATTATCATCAAATAATCCTGACAACAATATTATTCGTTTTCCAAATTTCTATAAACAATGGATGATATGAAAGCAGGTGTAAATTATACTATACCTAAAATCAAAGTAAAGAAAGTATTTAAAGTAAAATCCCCATTTAACATTGATAGAAATGAGAATATTGCAAATAATCACCAGTGTGTAAAAATCTTCAAAACACAACCTATTCCTATTTTCTTTTTATGTTTTCTTGTAAATGGCCTCCTTTTTATGCTCCTCATTATATTAAACACCTAATTAACTTTTAGAATGTTTATTTTGTATAAACCGGTTAGTAAATGTAAGATATTATTTCTTAATTCTAATGGGTTTATTTTTAATTATATAAAATCAATAATTGACTATTCATTTTATATAATATTGTCTAAATCTAAGAGAATACTAATGAAATAACATTAGATAAGAATGGCAAGAAGTAGCCCAATCCAAATTACCAGATAATATTTGTAGAAATATGAGTGTATAATCAAATCTAGAATTCACATCTTCATACATTTCATTGTTCAACTAGACCCTATTTATAAGCAGGAAGTTTAAATTTAGATGATGAGCCATGAATATGTTCTATTTTAAAATGTTCTAATCCATTAGATGAAGATGGGAGTTGAGGCTACATTTGCCTAAATTAATTTCAAATAATCTCAGATTTAAGTTAATAATCTATTGAATCATATTTAAATAAGCATAATCTATATACTTTAATATATCTTTGATATTATTTTTTATTAAACAAAGGATATCTGAACAGTAGTGCATTATCAAGATTAATATAAAATATATTGGAAATACGCACTTTGAGTATTTATGAGTAATTAATATTTTTTCTAAAAATATGTAAACACTTGATTCAACAGTGAAATGGTTCAACAAGACTGAAGGCAGAGATAAGATATGCAAAGTTCTGCAATACGGATCCAGATTTTTAATGTGGCACTTAAAGACAAACAGTGGAAATGAACAATTGTCCAATCAATTTAAGAATTTATTTTGTATTTGATTTGTTTATCACTATATAGAAAGCACAAGAGATGCCAGAAAATTATTCAGATTAGCTAAGTCTCTGAATGAATTGTAAACTATAATTGATAAATTTGGATAAAATTGCAAGAATCCTCAAGAGTAAGTCGCCAAGGCATTAAACATTTTAACCAGAGTTTGGTTTTTGTTATATTGGTATACAAATTCACTAAGTTTTTAGGTTATTTGATAACTTGAGTGTGTTGTCATCTATCAAGTTCACCACTAGCGACCCAAAGCCATTGCAAAAAAAAGCAATGACATTTTGGTTCATTGCAATTCTAACAAACCTGGTTGACACTATTAGATAATTAGTTGTCAACTTCTAATATATCTAACAAAATAAATCTAATCAAAGTGCTCAACAATAAGTCTAAAATAAAAAAAACCAAAACATAGCCCTTTACCTAAACCTGATCAAGATATTCGGAGATTTGATGCCAGCTGGTTAAGGGTCAGAGTTTTTCCCCAAAGTCTTAAAAATCAACCTTAACGATGGAGTTATAGGCCTTGGAGGTCTCATATCAGGAGCTATAGCAGCTTATTAAGCATATTGATTAATATACAGAATCATATATTATAAATATCATCATTTAACAACCCTCAATTATCGATTTCGAAAAGACTGATTGATTATCATTCTTCTATTTATCAGTTGGAACCATGATCATAATATGTAATTCTAATAAAAATCTTAATAGAAAATCAAAATTATATTATGAATTAACATATACTAATTTAATTTATATCGTCTTATAGATGCATATATATCTTTTTATTTTTATTTCATTAATAGAGAGATATTAAAGATAATAATAAGTTTAAGAAAAATTAATATTGATCTAATTAATATTTTAGATTCTAATTAATAAACTTGAGTTATACTTGAAATATAAATCAAATATTCTTCATATAAAATTCTATTTGGTTCAAAATAGCTTATGTGTCAGCATTTGAAATTGGAGTAATTGATTGTACAGCATGCTTCACTCTTTTTACATCATTAAATTCTTCTAATTTAGATGTTAACTTAAATCTGAACTCTTTGTAAGCTGACTTGCTTAATGCTTCATTCTTTTCTTTTTCTTTTCCTTCATCTGTCAATTGTTTTAGAAGATTAGCAGGAATATCAATTAACTAATTAGCTTATTAATCTCCTACACTAACCCAGATGTTACCACTAGAGTCAGCTATTTTGCAATTTAGAATGTATCTGTACTTAGGCTCTTTTAGAGTCAAATTGCACGATGAACAAAAATAGGAATCCAATTCTGTTGTAACTTTCTTAAGACAATTTGTACAGGACTAATAGTAAAGAGTTCCTGAGTTCTTAACTAAGACTAATTAGGCTCTAACATCTGAGTATATTTTTAAATTTTGATCCAATTCGCATTTATTTGATTCATTTATTAATTCAGATATTAGTTTAATCTTGGATACAGGTTCAGCCAATTTTCCATCAAAATTCTATAACCAATTTTGCAATTCTTTCACTTCCTTTTAGTTTTTGTCAAAATGAATAGAAGTTTAGTAATTATTTTATAAGCTTTTTCTCCCTTAATATTCATTTATCTTTAAACTCTTGAACATGTAAATTTCTCCAACTTAATATGGGTATTATTGAGCCAAATGTCCATAGAGTGTTATTTCTATCTCTTATAAGGAATCATCATAGACACCCAATTGGATTCTTGTTGATTTCTCATCTTTATTTTTTTATTAAAACTCTTTAACTCCACTAGAAGACTTTATAACTACTACTACATCCTATATTGATCCAACTTTTTATTGGCTGATTGAATTAAGTTTAACAAAGTTGAAGGTATTTAATGGAATTCCAGGAACATCATCAATTTCAATTATTTAGGAATTTTGATCGAAAGTATAATCAAAGGGGAGACAACCTATCTTTTGTAATTATTCTAAATTTTTAGCTGGCTTTACTAAGACACCTGAAAAGATATAGCATCTCCCTTAAACTATATAATCATGGAATTTTTCAGCTGCTGAATCAAAAAACATTGCAGAGACTAGATTTTCTTCGTCAATGACTTAAATTCCAAACATTTTACCATCTTTCTAATTTTTTGTGGTATAACTTTTTATTTCGTTAACTTTAACAACTCTGCCTCTGAAGGGTTATTAAAAACTAGGGTTGATTTAATAAAGAGGGAAGAACTATTATAAAATAATAAATGTTTACATCAATTTATGGATTATTTTTATTATTTCTTTAATTGGGTATTTTATTATTGAATTGATTATTCTGTTATTATTATTATTATTATTATTATTATTATTATTGTTATGGCTGAATTTATACTCTCAGTTATTATTTTTTTTAGTTTTATTATTAGTTTAATTAATCCTGGTTATTTTTGTTTTATTAAATCTATTGAAATTGTTGATTTTACGCCATCTAATCATAGGATTGCTTCTAAACCTAAGCCTTTTGCTATTATTGGACTAATTCTGTCTAAGGAGGATCGGCTTATTGTTGTTTTTAGAATTTAGTTTTACTTAATGAAATCTTAATCTACAATTTAACATAATAGTATTACTCCTTGTTTCGGTTTGTCTTCCTACTTATTAGGTATTTCTTATATGTTTTGTTGTATTGTGTTTTTGGGCTGATTGTAGCCAATCGATTGAGATTTGTGATTTGAAAATAATAAATCGTCGATCCCAGCAAATTCGTAGTCATCTAGAGATGTAGCTCCATTAGGATTTTAGTAACCATTCGCAACATAAGATTTAAAGGACATTGGTTGGCCGATAATTTTTTCAAGAATTTAAAGTCTTTCAAATTCTAAAATTAATATTGGAAAATCGTCGCCCTCAACAGGCCTTCCCAAAATTCGAAAACTTGTGACTTTAATTAAAGGGTATTTGACTAAGGGGTCTGTTTCTCTTAGTTGAACGAAGTCAGGATTTGGAGTTCTAAAAAATAAAGCCTTCATTTTAGCATAGCCATCAGAAACGCGGAAACATAGCAATTAATCCAATTTTTCCTTCGATGATTGAGGAAAATAGTTCTCCACAATTTACAAAGTATAATTGCAATCGATCTTCTATTTCAAATCTGTCACATTCTATCCTTGTTGTACAATTTTTCGAACTGCTTCAAATGTTAAATTCATAAATTAATGTAGTAATAATCAGAACTTGAAAATTTTTAGGTCGATTGGTCTCACGTAAGTAAACCGAAATTGAGTGAAAAGAGACCAAAAAAACAAGAAATCAAATAAACTGCATAAACTGAAGTGAATGTCTATGACAGAATCTCAATTTGTTTTAGATATAGGATATCCGCATTAATTACTCAAATGGGCAAACCGTAATACTACTGCAAATTTGATCCTAAATTAAAAAAGACAGTCCAACCAAATAACAACCAAAAGAAGAATTTAGAAGAATAGTTATCTAAAATCGCTGCTCAATTAGAATTGAGTTGTCGATTCATCACTAGATCTATGTTTTAAATAACTAGATAGCCTTTACTTAAATCTATGGGAAGTAAGTATTGTAAAATATGCATAAGTTGATATAAGAAGCGTATTAAATAAAGCACAGAATGATAAAGAATTTTAGAAGTTATATTTGGATTTAGATGACTAAAGTGAAGAGCAAAGGAAAAAGGAGGAGGAAACTGAAAAGATATTGGCTCAAATATAACCATTATCTGAAGCTCAAGTTAAAGAGGACATTGAAAAATTGCGGAAAAAACACAATTTAAATCAAAATTAATATTTGTATGTAATATAAGGATCATATTTTGATGATATGAAAACCCTGTTTAATTAGTTAGGTATAGTATCCATTTCCTATTTTTACTAGGTTGGGTTGAAATCGAGGACGTTTACACATAAGTTTACGATTTCAAATTTTGTTACTTAAAGAAATTTTTGCATAAACCTATCCCTGAATAAGTTGTAAGTAGATTTGCTAGTACTAAATTATTGACGACAAAATTTGGATTGGCAAGATCTCTTAAAAGTTGTTTTATTTTAGGAGGAGTGGATCCTAACACTTTCTTTCCAAGATGCTATGATTTAAGTGATGAAGGTGATTTCGAAGATTTTTTGGAGGAATATAAATTTACTTTTGCAGAAAACTATCTCAAGAAAAACCCTAAGGATGAAGAAAAGATACTTATTGCAATATAAATATTAGATACTAAATTGATGTCAATTTAAAATAAGATTAATAGAATTGTACAATTTAATTTATATTTAGACTGCTGATGATTATCCAGTTTGCACTCCTTAATAATGGAAAGTTTTATACAATAAACCAGAGCCTAAGTAGGAAATTGTTTAATTTACTAATCCAGATATTATGGAATAAGTTAAATAAAAATTATCAAGTTTGGCTATTGTTGACCCTTAATTTAAAATTTCAAAGGGTGAGAATATTTGGGTCACAAAACCTTGTGGGTTGTCGAGAGGAAGAGGAGTCAAATATTTTAAAGAGTTAGAAGAGATTCTTGCTTATACTTTTGGAGCTAAGGATGTGAATTTTGTTGCTTAAAAGTGCTTAGAAAATATAATGACAATCGAAAAAAGGAAATTTGATATAAGATAATGGATGATCGTATCAGATATTCAACCTTTGACTATTTGGATGTATAGAGAATGCTATGTACGATTTTGTGGTGTTGAATATAATACAGAGGACTTAAAAAATAGGTATAACTTATTCAATATATCGAAGATATGCTCATTTAACCAATTTTAGTGTGTAAAAACATAATGAAGACAACTAGGAGGAGAAGTTGATGATGAGTTAAGAGGAGTTTGCTTAAGTGTTGAAGAATAGAGGATTTGATTTTGAGAGTTAAGTTAGAGAATAGTTCAAAAACATTATTATAGCTACAATGAAATCATGTTAAAAGTCTATAGAAATAAGGAAGAATACTTTTGAAGTATTTGGATTAGATTTCATCGTTGACGAGGATTGCAATCCTTGGTTAATTGAAGTAAATGCTTCACCAACGTTTGCATTTTCAACTCCTGTAACTGAAAGATTAAACAAAATGGGCTTAACGGATTTGGGCTAATTTATAGTTGAGCATGTTTACAATAAAAATAAGAAAAAGCATTATGGAGGGTGGGAATTAATTTATAAATAAAAATTATGATGATAATTATGTTAATTTCAATATTTAATTCTATCTTAACTGATGTTCAATATAGTATAAATGTTTAATAATATAAAAGATATTTATATTGAATACTAAATCAAAATCAACTAAAAAGATAACTTAAAAGTTTTTATAGTTCATTTTTATTGACAGGTTTACTTATAAAATGAGACATGCCTATTTCATAACAGTATTATTTGGTTTCACTGTCATTGAAGGCTGTGCAAGCTATAATTATGGGAGCATCTTTCTAGTACTTCTCAATTATGGCTTTAGTAGTAGCAAATCCATCCATTATTGGCATATTGATGTCCATAAATATAAAGTTATATAAACAATGGGCTAGACATATATATTATAAATTTTTTACCTTAATCCAATTTAGTCAATGCTTCTTGGCCATTGTAGGATGCATCTGATTCTTAATTGAAGGACTTTAACATAAGTTACAATCCTAAAATATTGATCATTTCATCATCAACGATGAGAATCTATTTGCAACTGCAATTCACGATAACATTCTCAAATTCATCACAAGAACTTTGTTTGCTGGATTTGCATTTTTGTGGAAAATGAGACTATCTGATATTTTAAAATTAGAGTCTTTTTTAATAATCCTCTTCGTTTGTTTCCTCATTAATACTGTTTAATTCCTTAGTAGTTTATTTAATTTATTTTGAAAAGAGTGCTCCAAATTTATCCTTCGTAGTAAAACGCTCTTTCACTAATTCATCATGGAAACTCTTCACTTTTGGCAAAAAAACAGTACTAAAGTTATTAGTAAATTGATTTTTGAAGAAACTTACTCCTAAATCAATCTGAGATTGCTTAAGATCAATAATAGCATTTTTGCCTACTTTCAATATTCCACTACCATTATCTTAAGGAGCAGTAAGAGTATACGTGATACTGAAGGGTTCATTAATAATCTTGAATACCACATTTGTACCTTTATTCTCTTAATCACTATAATATCTTATTCCACCACCCTCTTCGTATTTTAGATTGCTTAAACTCATGGCAATCTTATTACACAAAAAACTGCCTAATCCAAACCCTGCAGTATTTTTAGAGATCTTTTTTTCCTGTTTATAATTATATTTAAGCATTTCAGTTAGATCGTCAATTTCATTTTAGGTCATCCCAATACCTGTATCTTGGATCTCAAATTAAACGTATTTGTTTTATTCAATTGATTTAACTATTATTTTGATACCTCCTTAGGATGTAAACTTCTACGAATTCTAAATAAGAGTGATCAATATTTGTTTAAGTCTTCTCCCATCAGTTAAAATAGTTTTCTCAGCTAAAAAGATTTCGTAGGTAATTTTGAGACCCTTTTGTTAAAGTGTGTGGAAAAAGATATTTATGACTTCTTCCAACAATTAAATGATCTAAAATTATTACATTATTTACATCTATCTTTTCTAATTGCAATTCAAGTTTTTTCCCTTGTATATTATTGTAATCCACCATGTCCAAAACAAAGTTATGCATTATCAACCCCATAGATTTAATAGGCATAAAATAGGAAAGCATATCAGAATTAGAGTATTTTTCAATGGCGACTTATGCTATGGCCAATAAATAATTTAAGGAGGTTCCAAATTCGTGTGACATTGTGCTTAGGAGTTACTTCAAAATAACAAATATGTATTTCTGTTTTAAATATCTGTCTCTTTCCTCAAGTTCTAAAAATTATATTTTGAAATCATGTGTGAAAATAATTTTTATAAAGTGATTGTTGAGCTTTGGATGACTGTAATCCAGGATCTGAACTATCATTGGTAATCTGTTTGCTCGAATTTAATCTAGCAAATTTTGCAGAGAACAGCCTGGGTTCTTCCATTAAAGAATGGATTTGGAATTCGAATCAATTTTATTGATTATTAAATCATGTAGGATCGATTACAAACTAATTTTTAAATCTTTCAGTATTGAACTTTAATTCTAAAAACTTGTTTCGTTAAATTGGTCATCCAAATACAATACAGAGAAATTGGGATCTGGGCTTCTTTCGGGAATTGAATCATATCCTGTATACTGTATTTTTGAGTGAACCATTATTTCCGGTTTCTTTTAATCTTTCTGCATTTAAGCCAAAAGATTGAAACTTTGAATAGCCGATAAACAAAGAAAAGCAAAAATGCTACGAAAGATTTGATGTATTTCGATAGCAGTTCCAAGTGTAAATAGGAGGACTAGTAAAGCTATTTTTTATATATTTTGTAATAATACCTAGCCATTCTAGTATTAACAGTTTAGAAACTTATTGAAACGCTATTAGACGAATTATTATATGATATGCCCCTGTAAAATATTTATATTGCGAATTTGGCATCAAAAAAAAAATTAAGATCGCTTAACTCAACAGTATTAATCTTTAAAAAAGCTCTGGAAGTTTAAGTTTATAAAGTAAAAGTAACACAAACATTCCGGCAAGTTCCAAAGCCAATGCTATAACTTCTTTTGGTTCCTCAAATTCTGTTAATGCTATAATTGTCGAAAGGCTCTGTGTTGTGATCAGACTAATAAAAATTTTCATAATTAAATAACATCACTATAATAGTATATAATTAATCAATAATACAAAACAACATATCTCTTCAACTTAGCATGATTTAACACAAATAACATAAGTCGATTTATAAAACATGTTACTAGTTAGCGAACTAAACCTAGTCCTGATCATCGGCTTTGAAAATACTTTTAAAATATATTTTCATATCTGTTCTTAAATTGGGTAAATTTATTCGTACAATATACATTTGTAATATATCTAATAAAATTAATATAAAATGTAATAACACTAATAATAGAACCCTGATTCTGTCCCTTTGGATATATTGTTGGCTCAACTAAAAAACCCCTTGATTGTCAGAGAAGACCATTAATAATGTATTTGCCATATATAATAAAAGTGTTAAAGTAAAAACATCATCAAATGCCTGAAATAATAAATAATAATTATGAACTGTTAGCGGATAAATACTTACTTTTAAGCAATGCTCTACCAGGATGTTCCCCTGAGTTAATTGTGGAGGAATTTGAGAAAGTTGTGTAAGTAGTAGAGAAATGCTGCAATTAATTTATCGAGAAAATGAAGAAGGTAATTAAAGATCTATAGGCATTTGCGAATTATGATACTCAAGTTTTGAAAGGGTATTTAACATAAGCGACTGATGTTTTTTAAAGATGCTTTTATTTAGCCGAAAAAGACTTCACCAGTTTTGATGTTGACTTTTTGATGGAAAATTTCACTAATCCAGAAAATAGCATTCAAAATCACTTACTAACATTGATATTTGAAAGAAATCAAAATCTACAGAACGTGATGTCGAAAGTCTATACAGAATAACTGGATTTTGCAGCATCCTTCAGGGCATAATTTGAATAATTGTGCAATACTAACCATTTTGAACCATTAAACAAATTATTAAATAATTAGAAATAATTTTGGTCTAACAGAGTGAAAAAACAAATCTAAACTTAAAAACAATTAATGGAAGAATAATAAGCATAATAAGTATTGGTATAATCGATTATCTAATTTGCTCCTTAAATATAATAATTCTAATAGCAATAATAATATCAATAGTAATAATAATAGTAATAATCCTAAATTGTTTAATCGTAGATTTAATAATAACCTCCATAAGATTAATCATGGTTGACTAAATCGTAAATGATTTCTATTGAAGCTGGAAATCAATAATTGATTGAGACTATGCTTAAATTAAGAGCTCACACTCATGAATTAATGCAATAACATGACAAGGAGTCAAAAAAAGATCCTAAAAGACATTGCAAATTAGAAGGTGGAGGATCCTTTGGGTAATGAAATTCATAATTACATTCTAGCTATTGCTGGACAGGTGGGTATGGCTGGAAGGGAACTATTTATGAAGGCTTAGAACTATCTAATTAATGTCCTTAGTGCCAAGTTCTAAATAAGGACATGCATAACACAGCTAAAAAATTGTATGATCTAGAATATAGAGATAAAGGGACATGGTGGGTTAGAGCTTGGTTTTTATATAAGAGATGATTATTTTTAATTTATAGCATAATAAAGGAAAATTCAGTTACTTAATAAATAATTTTTAATATACCAAATCTATCATTTCAATATGACGAGCTAAGTTCTTCCATTATAAACTTAAGAAGATGAAAATTTAAACTCAGACAACAGTTAATCTGTAATATCCAAAAATTCAAGTGTAAGATAACAACCAACTGCACCTGTTCCGATGCCTCCTAATAAATTAAGAAAGAGAGGAACGGTGTAATTGGAAAATGAAGTTGAGGAAGAAGTGAATTCTATTTTTCATCTAAGCGTTATATTGATAGCGATTTAGAGTGGAAACTTTTCTTTGGGATATTCCTTATCTTATTTATCAATGTCGTTCACAACTTTATTCTCATAAATGTATAAATCTATATTAGTAATAGTACTCTAAAAGGATCGGAAATTGAAGAGCAGGGTTTGTTCAGTGCCGTCTTATCAATAGGTTAAGTAGTAGGCGCTTTGATGACCTAGCCATTATTAAAATATACAACGAGAAATTAATCACTTTTAATAGCTGATATATGTGGAGTTTTGAGCATTTTGCAAGTTGTGCCTAACAGAGAAGTAATTCTGACATTTCGATTCTGTTATGGAGTATGTTTAGGCATATCTACTATCATTATGCCTCTCTATGTCAAAGAATTGTGTCCATAGAAATATTATGAATCATTCTCTGTCATGGCAGGTTTTTTAGTTGGAGGAGGATTATTATTTACTAATTTTATGGGATTGGGATATATTAATGATGAATTAAGAGGAGTCAACTCATACTATTGGTAGATTGTTTTTGCTATCCCTGCATTAATTCATTTTTTGAGATCCTTTATTGTAACAGCTATTTACAAAATGGATAGTCCTGTCGGATTGGTTTAAATCAAAATGCCATTGTCAGCCAAATAAATTATAGAGAAAATCTATCAGCCACAATTCATAGACTAAGTCCTATTGAAATGTTAGTTAAGAGTGCAATATAATGAAGAGCATTAGGAAGGAATACTAAGTCTTTTTACTAAAAAGCATTTTAAAACATTATCCATTGGATGTGTCTTGGTCTTTGTGTATACTTGGTGCGGATTATTTGCTTTGTTCTCGTACAGTTCGTAAATCTTTGCTATAATGTCTGACGGAGATATAACATTAAACACAATATTTACTCTTATTATTGGAATTGTGCAGTTTACTCCTGCATTTATTTCAAAGTATGTCTATGGAAGGTGGGGAAAAAGACCACTATTACTTAATGGCCTAATTTTCCTTATTTTTTGTTAGATACTCATTATTGGTTTGAGTTACTCTGATGCTTTGGTTGCCACTATTATTAAATTTATTATTATTTGTCTCTTCTCAGTTCAATATGCTATGACTTTAGGACCTATTACATGGGTAATTATATATATATAATATGAATTTAGTCTATGACGCCTGAAATCAATTCGAGCGAGGGAACCTACTTTTGTTTTGTTACTTTATATGCTTGGCAATTACTTGTTTTATACATATTCCCATTTATGTTAGATGGAATTAAAATGAGTGGAGCATTCATTGTATTTGGAATTTTAACAATTTTATCAACCATATTCTTTTACATTTTTGTTAAAGAAACAAAGGGATTAAACCACAAAGAAATAGATAGATTATATGGGAAAGAATGAGTCTAAACAATGTGAATATTTAATCAATGTTAGAAATCATTTGTATTTCAAAAATCATTTAATAATTAATTTTTGCAATTATTTCAATAATTATCATTTCAATTCTATCAAGAGTACTTTCTGATTAATACTGAGTTTCTCTAATAGAATTCAACCGTCCTTGAACTAGTTGTCTTTCTAAAAAATAATTATAAATGTAAAAATACTTTAAGAAAATATTCTTCCAATAAAGCAAAATGGCAAATAATGTATTTTAATGCCGCTTAAAAGGCTATAATCAATAAGACTATAATAATTATATACATCAAACTATTGACTAAGATGAGACATTATTGGATATATTCTAAGATCAGGAAGGATAATTGGGATTTAACAACTATCTCAAACATGAAATTTTTAATAATCCAGATTAATTAAGATCAGATTTGGATGCTATATACGAATAATGGGAAACCAACGCTAAAATCCAATTAAAAAGAGTAGAAATCTTTAGATTAATAATGTTAATGTACTTGGGATTGTTAGAGCGAGATTTCTCATAAGGAGGATTTTATTTAATTGATATGGTTTACATAAAATCTAACAAAAGTCATCTCTGTGAATAGAAATTAAAATGTATTAAGCACTATATAAAAACATTCTATTTAAATCAAGAAACCATCAAGGATGAATATTTAGTATTTTCAAAGAACTCCATAACTAAAGAGGACTTCAATAAAAAATTTGAGGAATGTAATAACCAGGTCATTGATTTTGAATTTTCCGAATTGAAAAATGAAATTCATTATAATTCTACTGTTGTTGATTTTGCTGATGAAAACATTGGAGGACTTGTTCTTGACACTTGGAATTGCGCATAGGAAGAGGTAAAGTTTTATTTTATTTTAAACTAGATTATAATGCTCTTATATCCTGAAGCAATTACATGCATGATTTTTATCCCAAAGATGAAAGAAACGGAAGCAGTACTTATCGAAAATGTGAAAAAATATAGCAACTATACAGGATATGAAAAGTCATTTATAAGCTTCCCTTCTGAGGATATCAAGGAAAATTATAATGTTCTGGTATTCATCATTTAATAATACAAAGGCAATTGATGCTAAACCATTTTATAGCGAAGACTAATTTACAAAAGAAAATATCTATAGAGAATTGTTAAAGTGTTATGCAGGGTTTGAACTTTCCTTAAAAAACAAGCCTAATTGCGTTATTTCTACAGGGAAATGGGGATGTGGAATTTTTAGAGGCAATATTTATCTGAAGACATTGATTTAATTCGTAAGTTATGCTATTGCTACCAATCAAGTTAAACAATCAAACTCAAAAATAATTATCAATTGTGCTAATGATTAACATTTATTTAAATTTGGAACCACGCTAAAATAATGGTTATAATAGTATGGAACTTAACTTAAATTAATTAATTTAAAGGAATCAATTTTATTTTTATAAAATGGAATAAATGATGGCATGTTATAAAATTATAATACCGAATTGATTGACTAGATATTTAAAATTTTGACAAAAGATATTCCCTAATTCCAAACTTTGAGTTAAAATAGTAAATCTAATGATAAAGTAGATGAACCATAATATGATATTGAACAAGAAGAAGGTCAAAATGAAAAATTTAATAAAAATATAGAAAGCCAATAATAGGATTAAGAATAAAATTAGAAGGGATATATAATTACTAATTAATAAAAAGTTGCTCTTGCTGCTTTTGCTTTTGGCATTTTTTTGGCTAGAGTCTACATATATCAAAGTTGAGGTTTAATAAAATATATTTCAGTTATTTTATACAAAAACTAGATAAATATAATTAATTCTCTTGACTTTCGGTGTTTTTTAACATTTCTATTAAACCTACAAATTGAATTTTTTTTTCATCTAAATCTACAACTCTTTTAATTAAAAAATTAGTAGTTTTGTAGAAATTATGGTTTATGAGAGTTACATCTAATTTTAAATTAGCCTATAATCTTAATGCTAATTCAAAATATTAATTCTAATAACTCAAATTTAAATATGAATGATACTGAAAAAGAAAGGTTATTAGAATAAGGTTTACCAAAAAAATGAATAATAACAATAATAAGGATTGATTGATATGTTAGTGAATCTTCTAATTGAATAAATGAGAATTTTATTTAATAAGTTCATTGATAGTTTAACTTACATGTGAATATTATTCATATTTCACTAAATTTTCTAATCTATAATTACTTATGTTCCTGATCCCAAGTTACTAAATAATCTCCTGAATCATTCATTGTTCCAAAGATTTAGTTTGTGTTAAATTTTATTGCTTTTTCTTATATAAATTTTCCATCGGCCCTTTTTCTTAACATATTTATATAATTGCCATTCTTATTGATTAAAAGTTATTTCTAATGAATAAATTTCTAAGGGAAATAATAGTTGGTATCAGTACTACTATCAACTGGTATTTCCATTTCCAAATAAAATTATTTAGATGTGCTGTTCCAGGAATAGAGTTCTAAAATATTTTTATTTTTTGGTTAAAAAGTAAACTAATTATCTCCAATAAAGCACAGTCTTTTACCTTGTTCATGCACAAATATTCGCTATATAACAATCCACTTATTAGTAAATGGAGACAATTCCATTACTAATATTGACTTATCTTCAGAACAAGATATCAACTTATTTTAAGATTCATTAATACTTAAACTTAAGACATTTGATGTATGAGTAGAAATTGTTTAGGAGCATACCCATTCAATTTATTTCACCCAAAATTTAATTGTTTAATCATTGCCACAAGAAATAATGAGATCTTCATTTTTATTCATAATGATATGTTTAATAGGTTTTGAATGGCCTGTAAGTCTTTAAAAGATAAGCCATTAATGATTTTAATCTTAATGCCAAACTAAAATTGAAGAATCTTCTCCACCTGATATAAAATTCTATGAATTCTTCATAAAATATATGGCTCTGACAAAGTCAGTATTTTCCAATTTCTAATTCAATAAGGCTTTCCCATTAGTGAACTCAAACAACTTAATATATGACTAGCAGCCAACAGCTAAAATTGTGGAATCTTTATTAAATGCAAATGAAAAACACCATTCAGGTTCTTTGATAGAATTTTCTTGCAATAATTAGTATTCAAAAGTATTAAATTACATTTAAGGATTAAAAGTTATCATATTATTTAAAAGGACTTAATTTATCCAAATTATAATCATAATGACATTTAGAGAGCAGACAAAAGAATACTTACGAGCCTTTTTTTCTAGCGATTTTATGTATTCTTCTTAATTATTAATTATCATTGTTAAATGTATTATTAAAAATATTAGCTTTAATAGAATTCAAATGAGGGAATTATTAATTTGATTAACATAATTAATTTTGAAGACATGTAATGATAAAACCTACCATAGTAATATGGATTCTACAAAGCGGTTGGCGTGTATTCAGCATATTAAATGTTATTCAAATTATTTATATTAGGAAATGAGCATTTTTGATTATTTGATTATATTTTAAAGTTGATTCCACAAATCTTATTCTTTATATAAATGTAATTAGGCAGTTGTAAAAATAGTTGGGTAGATTTGGAGAAGATTCCATTTATCCAATTTTGCTTTTAGGTTAAGGATTATTTGTTTAATTGATAGATGTTACGATAATACCCTTTCTTATAATCATATTAGCAAAAAAATTGATTCTCGAGTTAATTAGAATAAAGCTAGATAAACTGGTTTAAGATGATGGTAAATATATGTATTAGATTTTTAATAAATCAAATAAATTCATCATATATCAAAAAAAATCTTCCATAAATTTTAACAAAAATTTACTATATTAGATTTTGATGGAATCAAACAAAATTATTTATTCTATTATATTATTGGAATTTTTTAGCCATATTTTATTCTTAAATTATTTATTTTTCTAAATGAATATGTCTATAGTCTTTATACTCGTAGGCTTAATTGATACTGTATATTCATCTTGGCGATTAATATATCTTTACTTATATAATGATGAGAAATTTACTTATTACAATGGGCCAACTGCAGAATAGTATTCAGGAAACTTTTTATTACCATCAACTTAAACAACAGCTAATTTTATAACTTGCGCAACACCTCCAACAAGCTACATAACTCTAAGTAGCGCATCTCCATCAGCTTAAAATAAGGATAATCGATTACTTAGTAAATATTGTTATTTAACTGTGGATTTATATTTTCAAGGTACATGGACGTCCGAAACAGTAACTATTTAATTTAGCTCCTTTTCATATACATATAATTACATCCCTCCTCCCAATTATCAAGTGTCAAATGGATTTTGTGATAATATTCCTTATGATATAAGAACACTTAATTTTGCATTTTAATTGCCTAGTCCAGTTTACGGAAATCTATAGTTTACATCATCAAACACAAATGATGGGTAAGTTTCGATCAGAAATATTCACATTACTGACCCAAATTTATGTTATTATATATGCGAAACATGTACAGCTGATAATTACAAATGTGTAAGTTGCTATTATGGATCGCCAACAAACTCTGTTTGTCCGCCTTGCCCATCCAATTAATATTTTGAGAAAAAATATGGATGTAGAAACACCTGTGATATTTATTAACAATTATATTCTAATGGATTTTGCAATAATTATCCTGGTAATTATACTAGAATATTCTAGTTTAAACATATTCCAACGTTCTGATATCAACTATTAAAAATGAATGGTCTATTATATATGATCCATAACATTTAGATACATCTCCAACCATTCTGGGTTCTGGGATATACGGAATATTTAAATTTAATTCTGGCATCTATAAATTTTATTATTCTAATTTAGCTGTTCCTTATTAAATTGGATTGAAAATATCAGTTGTAACATATAATGATATTCCGATAAATTGTGGAATATCGTTTATGATTAATAATAATGTTATTGGCATTATTTACAGAAATGAATCAGGATATTAAACACATAATTTCATAATCTATGAAACAAATAGCCTTCCTTTATCATTAGGTTATACCTCAATTTAAAAATTTCATCTAATTGTATATGCTGGCATTTCTAGTTTTCCAATTCTATTTTCAGCTCGAGGAAATTATAAGTAAAACCATAGATATATAAAAATAGTGATGAAACAGCAGGATGGGGTTTGGAATATGTTTACATAGTTGAAGCATTATGTCCTTAATACTGCTAATTGTGCGAGGTATCATTCAAATGCAAGATTTGCAAAAGTGGATACTTTCAATACAAGAATAATACTTGCATTGCCAACTGCGATTAACCATATCAAAAATTAGATGGTTCTTACTGTTATGATTTTGATGATGAAACGCCTTGTATCTTTGATTCTATATAATAGACTCTTAATATTAAACTTATGATTTTGTAAATAATACTTTTGATCCTGATTACAAAACAGGGTATACACTAATCTCTTAAACTGGGACGAATTTTATGAAAGGATCAGATATCTATTATTCATATTTCAATACACTGAGAATCTTTGGAGGACCTTTCACATGGGCACAGGCTAAATTTTAAAGGATTCATAATATAGTTGAACCGCATTACAGTATTACAATCGCTTTTTATATACTTTATGGTCCAGCATTCCCTTCGGATGGATAATTTATATATACTATTGAAAATAAACCACCAATTTATAAATCAGCTAACAGCTTTTAAGGTTTAAATAATTATGGTGGAAAATTCGACAAAGTATATGAAAGGATAGATCACTATGCAAATACATTGACAATAAGTTGGGAATGTTTTGGTCCAAACAATGAACCAGTTAACGCTTATTGTGGATTTTATTATTACTACGTAACCATCCATAAATGCTAGCCATATTGTTCATCATGCTAAGATCTAAATACCTGTATATAATGGAGCCTCAATTATGATCCGAATGTGGTGAAATTCTCTTAAGCAGAGTGCTTAAGTAATGAATATTATGATAAATATACTGTTGGATGTTTGGTTTGTCCAGCATCTTGCTTGACGTGTACATCTAAAATTGATTGTTAAACGTGTTAGCCTACTTATATATAATCTAAATTAGGTTGTATTTGTAAATTGAATTAATGGGAAGATTAAAATCAGTGTGTTGATTGTCCAATTGAATGTAATTAATGTATAAGTCCGACCCAATGTATAAATTGTTTAGTATCAAATAATCGATAGTTAAAAAATCAATAATGCATTTGTATTGATGGATACTACCCAATATCTGGGAATCCTAAATGCAAAAGATGTCATTAATTTTGTGACACTTGCTCTGGACCAACTTCTAACGATTGCCTAACTTGCAATAATAATATTGCGAATATTGAGACTGTTGGTCAAACATGTCAATGCCCTACAGGTTATTTTTATAAAGAAGTATCTAAAACTTGTTCTTAGTGTAATTTTACATGTTAAACTTGCTTTAATGGAACAATAGATGGTTGTTTATCTTGTGATTCTAATTTAAATAGAATATTAATAGGATTAAATTGTAGATGTTTGCCTGGCTACTATTATTTAAATGAAGTGTGTACAGGTATTTAGATAAATAATACTATTAGATTGTCCAATTTAGGAAGTTCCGAATTTCTGGGCATGTTTCAAATTTTGTCCTGGCACTCAGTAAGTATGGCATACAAATACATGTAATTCTTGTGATTCAGGATTCGAACTGGTTTCTGGATAATGTCTACCTATTTGTGGAGATTAATAAATAATAGGAATAGAGTAATGTGAAGATAATAATACTACCATGGATGATTTATGTTATAATTGTTAATTTCAATGTCCAGTCCATTGTTTAACTTGCAATGCATCTACTACTTTGCCTTGTCCTGATATTTGCGGAGATAAGATGGTTACAGGAATAGAAGAGTGTGAAGATGGAAACAATATATAATATGATGGATGTTTTAATTGCATGTATTCATGCTAACCTCAATGTACTAAGTGCATTAAAGGAGAGTGTTTTGAATGTTTGACTAGTGGATGGCAGATTGATCCAACAGTTCAACCTTGGTAATGTAAAGAGATATGTGGAGATTTGAAAATAGTAGGTCAAGAATAATGTGAAGATGGAAATCAGGATGATAAGGATGGATGTTATAATTGTAGGTATTTCTGTAGATATGGGTGTTCATCTTGTAATTATACGAATAAAACTTGTTTAAAGTGTGAATTACCAGGGTTTATACCAGAGAATTATTATTGCAAAAATATATGTGGTGATATGTTAGTAGTAACAGATCCAAATGGATTCTATTTAGAAGAATGTGATGATGGTAATACAATTAATTATGATGGATGCAGCGATGTTTGTAAATTTTAATGTTAAATACCATCAATTTGCATCACTTGTGTAAATAACAGATGTGAATTATGCGCAAATGGATATTAGCTTTCTAATTAAAAGATTTGTTTACCAATTTGTGGAGATTAGGTAATAGTAGTTGGAGAATCATGCGAGAATTCGTTTATTTTACCCTATAAAGGTTGTTAAAATTGCTAAGCAAAATGTTAAGCTACTTGTCTTACTTGCGATAACTTTGGACTGGGTTGTCAGATCTGTAAAGAAGGCTACTATGTAATTGATAATTTATGTTATTCAATTTGTGGGGATAAAATAATTACAGAAGATGAAGAATGTGATGACGGCAATTTAGTATTTGGAGACGGATGCCACCAATGTTCTTATAGTTGCCCTTAATCTTGTTCGATATGTCACAAGGGAGTTTGCTTAGAGTGCTATGAAGACTATTATTATAGTAGGGATACATGCATTCAAATAAAAAATGAACATCAAGATGCAAGATGTGATTCAAATTGCTTAAGCTGCAGTATCGAAGGATATGGCTGTTTAATGTGTAAAAGTGGATTCTAAAATATTGATAATAAATGTTGGCCTGTCTGTGGAGATGGGCTAGTACTTGCTGAAGAGGATTGTGATGATGGTAATTCAATCTTTGGAGATGGATGCCATTAATGTTCTTATAGTTGCCCTCTACCTTGTTCTTTATGTAGTAAGGGAGTTTGTTATGATTGCTATGAAGGCTATTAGTATATTAAGAATTCTTGTGTTAAATTAAAAAATGAAATTCAAGATGCAAGATGTGATTCAAACTGTTCGAGTTGCAGTATCGAAGGACTTGGTTGTTTGGTTTGTAAGAGTGGATTCTAAAATGTCAGTAATAAATGTTAGCCCATCTGTGGAGATAAATTAGTAACTGCTCATGAGGACTGTGACGATGGCAATTTGACATTTGATGATGGATGCCATCAATGCTCTTTTAGTTGCCCTATATCTTGCATAGATTGTCATCAGGGTGTTTGTTTAAATTGTGGACAAGAAAATTTTTATTATGAACATTAATGCTTTGAATTGCTGGAGAATGTTTATTTGAAGGAAGATACTAATTTTGAATTTGTGGAATTAGTCATTTCTTAAGCTTTCATAGCAAATCCTAGTTTAACAAGTAGAATTCAAATGAAGATATTTGACTTTTATTATCAAGATTATAGTTAGATTGGTTAATATATTGAAATTATGGATTCAAGCTTTCCCTACATAGACATTGAAATATATATTAAATGTTAAGAAAATAAGAAATTGGAGAGTCAATTTTATTAATAAAATTACTAGAATGGCTTTGAGGATAGTCAAATAATATTCTCCTAATCCTGTCATAACACATTTAATCATATAATTAAATTTTCATTTAGGTTATAGAAAATAATAATGAAAAATTAATTATTGATAATAAAGATTTCTGAAGATCAATTCAAATTATCAACATTATTTACCACTTTTAGACAAAAGCTTCTTGAAATATCATTTATTGACGCATGATAAATTTCAATATTAAAATATTAAGTATTTTCAATTAACAATATTTATTTATTTCATTCAAGATTTATATACATACTTCATTCAATCCTTTATATTTTTCAGAAACCCTTTATTATTCACACTTTTAAGTTAATTTAATTAATATTGTCAATATATTTAAGGAGGTGGTACAATTTAACAATAATTTACTAACAATCCTCACAATTTTTTTTAATATTTCTATAAAATTCGTAGTCATCTTATAATATAAAAAAGAAATAACATGTGAGACAATTTTAAGTTTCTATTTTTCTAAGAATAGAGATTATAAAATGATTAACCGTTTAAAACATTTACAAACACTGTATATTAGTTTCTATTTAAAAGATTCTGAATTTCCTTAATATAATTAGATATTTCCCTTTGTATTTTCCTATTTTGAATTATGGTCTTTAAATATGATGATTTGATTGGTAATCTTCTAACCCTTAATATTTGTTTTTATGATTTATTAAGATTACATATATGCTTGTATTATTTAATTTCCTCTCTACAGCTCTTTGATTCTGTTCAAAATAATAAGATTTTGAAAAATTATTCCTTTTCATTATTAACACAATTAGCTATCTAAATAATCTATAGAACTCATGTGGATAATAGAATTAAAAATAAAAAGGATTGTCTTTAGAAGTGATAATTGATTTAGAAACAATATTTGATTTAATCAACAAAAATTTCTCTTTTCAAACAAATAATAAATCTAGTATCGATATTGCCCAAGTTAAATGTCAAAAGGAAAATGCTTTAATAAGTTAATATATTGAATAAAGGCCTGAACTACACATGATTTAAATCGTTAATGAAACTGACCATCAATTCTATTGATACGGCATTATCTTAAAACTGAATCGTGAGGTATAAAATTCTCTATGATATCGATCAACAATTTCAGTTTATACTAGCGATGAAAAATTAAGTAGGCTATCTTATTATTGACCCAGACAATAACAATAAAATGTCGCAAGGTTTATTTAAAATGGATTGAATAATAAATTTTAAATTTCTATTATTGTAATAATTTTAATATGTCATCCCAAAATAAATTAGTAACCCAAGAAATAGAAGGGATTATTTGGAATTATAGTCTGAATCCACCAGAATAACTTAAATGTAAATTTCAAATTAGATGGACTCAGGATTAGAAGGTTTAGTACATATTGGATGGATGCATTTTGCGAATGTATCAATCTGCTAATTAATTAATTTTAGTGATTCAATTTACAACACATCAAAGAAAGCTGAAGTTCTAACAAATTTAGAATAAATTAAACATTTAAGATGGATTGGATAATATGGGTAAAATAACTTAAAGGTTGGTAAATGGTTGGCTACTTGGAAAGGAGAAACTTTAAAGGATGTTGGAGGAGAGTACTTGAATGATGAAAAAAAATAAGGAATATGGAAAGATATTGTTTAGAATTATTAGACGTAAGTTTCAATTTCATAAATTTAAAGCAATTCATAAGCATATATAGTTGGGAGATATGAAAATGGCTTGAAATTAGGAAAATGGTAGTATATTTATAATGATAAAGAGATGTATTTAATAAACTTATTAATTTGGTTAGTGGTGGTGGAAATTATAATTAATAAGGTGTCTAGGTTGGTTTATGGTAAGAGTTAAGTGATGGATTTTGGGATTAAAAGTAGGTCACTCATAATGGTGAATATCGAATTGGGAAGAAAGTTGGTAGATGGAACATTAAGTATGAACGATAAATTATGTAAAATATTAACTAAAGCAATCTTTTAGTGGTGGTGGATCATATAATGTAGAAAGCAATCAAAAGTGTGGAAAGTGGATTGAGTTGAGCGAGAATTTCAGTGAAGATTCAAAAGTCATTTATGAAGGGTAGTATTAAAAAGACAAAAAAATTGGTTTGTGGGATATTTTGTATAAATCAGAAAAAGATTAACCCTTTAAATAGATGTAAAAATAAAAAAGATCAAAATTATAGTGGTGGCGGAGTATATTTAGAAGGGTTAAAGACTGGGAAATGGATTGAATTGCGGGATAACTTTGAGAACTATTCATAAGTCACTTAAGCAGGCTAGTACAAAAAGAATAACAAAGTTGGTAGATGGGATACTTGGTTTATAGAAAAAGATGCTCAAACAATTAAATTAATGTATATATCCCTCATTAATCAAAATTGATTAGTGGTGGTGGATTCTATACTAATGGAGGCGATGGCATCAAGATTGGAAAGTGGATTGAGTTGAGTGATGGATTTTGGGATAGATCATAAGTTTTTTATACTGGAGAATACCAAAATGGGAAAAAAGTTGGTAGATGGGAAATTTCATATTGGAAAGATTATGAAGATAATAATCAAAATTAATAACTGTAAGTTGAGAAAATATTCTAAATGTTAGTGGTGGTGGATCATATAGCAAAGTGGGTGATGGCTTAAAGGTTGGTAATTGGGTTGAGCCGAGCGAAGGATTTTATGAGAATTCCTAAGTTACTTATAATGGTGAATATAAAGATGGTAAAAAAATTGGTAGATGGGACATCAGGTATAGGAAGGATAATAAATTTGAAAAGATGTAAACAAAAATTAAAATAAAATATTCAGTGCTGGTGGATTATATAGTGAAACAGGTGATGGCATAAAGATAGGGAAGTGGGTTGAGTTGAGTGATGGATTTTATGATCATTCTTAAATTACCTATGATGGTGAATACATTAAAGGAAAGAAACATGGTCGATGGGATATTAAGTAGAGGATATATAAAGACAATATCTAAATGTAAATATAATAATAACAAATATTTTTAGTGGTGGAGGATCATATGAAGAAGGAATTAAGATTGGAAATTGGATTGAGTTGAGTGATAAGTTTGATAATTGGAACTAATTAATCTATATTGGAGAGTATAAAAAAGAGAAAAAGGTTGGTGTCTGGGTGTAAAAGGATAGAAATAAGAATGAGAATCACAAAGAAATGAGATATGATGATTGAATAATCAATAAAATTCGAATAATACCTTAACTTTATATATTATAATTTGAAGATAGCGTATAATAATCCAAGGTTTCCAAGAATGATAAAGAAATTACCTTATTATCTTTCACAGTATAATTACTTCTTAATTTTTTGATCTATTTATTTAATAAAAATTATACATTTTTTAATAAAAGTAGGATAATACTTATTAATATTGCAATTCTATATTCAATAATTATAATCAGTAATGAACAATTTAAATTTTTATATTGATATTTTGATCATTTAACTTAATTAAAATACAAAAGCTTAACTTTATTATATAAGAATACAATTTTACTTTCAATAAGGGAATCAATTGCTAATTTATTTTTATCTTAATTCAATAAGGCCAAATTAATTAATACCTTATTAAATTATAATTATATTTTGGCCCTAAGATTAGTAACAAAATTTAAAGATTCGATCTTTATTCTGAAAGACAACCAAGCTCAATCCATGGGAAAGATATTATTATGATTAGATAAACGCTTTGGTGTTAAGAAACTTTAGAGATTTGCTTAATGATTCTTTATGGAACTAGATTAGATGAGACATATTTTAATGTGAAAAGTATTTAGATGGAACAATTAATTAATTAAACTCTTTTAATAGAATTGAAATGTTAGTACAATTATAATTAATTTGATATGGAATCAACTCTTTTTTAATTGAATCTTATAAGTAAATATTATTAAGTAAAAAAAAATAGGACAACTAAAGACCCAAAGAGTTGAGTTGTAAAATAAAATCATGAGTGAACTCAAGAATATCGATTTGTAATTTTTGAAATTATTATAAAGAACCCAAAAAGCTATTGTTGGTACTAGAGCATTAAAGTTAGTTCTATAAGTCGGGAATGAGAACAAAAAACAATATTGTTTATAAATTATTCCCTAAAAGTAATGCAATTGCTTAGGAAATAATTTGGAAAATAAAGGTGATAATTCTTTGCAGTGTTATTCATCCCTAATAAAAACGAATCCAATAATTACACATAAAGAAGTGAGAAAAAATTAAAATAATAATATTATTTATTGTTTTTATATAGTTATTTATCTCCTAACATATAAAGTAAAATGTTTTTAGATAAGGATTACTTTCAGATTTATAGTATATTAATGGTTACAAGTAATAGTTTTTGCTCTAAAGATTTCCATTAGTAAATAAAAAATAATCATGTTATTTTTTGATTGATGAATAAATTATAGTATTTTCTCACTATTTTAAGGGAATTTTCGTAATCTATTTTCCTATGACAATATCTATTCTGTTAACCTTAAGGGTTATTTGATTTTTAAGGTTCAGGTGCTGCTTTAAAGTGCAATGAGGAATTATTTCAATCCTTTAATATAATTTGTCAAATAAAATTATAGATTATGCTATCAGATTTATTAGTTATTTAACCCTTTCTTTATTGATATCAACTTCTAGGACTAAATACTCTTTTTTAGAAATTTCATTTTTATAAATTTTACTTTCATGATTTAAAGTACATGTAAAAGCTTAAAAAGTATCGATATCATTTGAAATTGAATCTATGAAATCCTTGATTTGATGATAATTTAGTTAAAAATTAAGACTCAAACTTATATGGTATTCTACTTATTTTAATTTAGGTAATTATGAAGTTACATCAATTTTACAAAATGATGGATAAAATCCACTCATATGGCTTCTATTTACAATTTTAACAGCATTTTCTTCTTCATCATCTGAATAATCAACTAATTTAGACATTAATTTATTATTCTTGATTATTAAAAAAAATAAATAGTAAATAAGAAGATAGTATTTGATTTAAAATCAAATAAATAAATCTAAAATTGTTCATTCTATTTTTAACAAGCTAGGATATAAATTCAATTAAATTCTAATCATTATTATATAAAAATATTTGAAAAATTGTTACTTAATTTATCTAAGATTTACTCCAATTTCATGTTAGTGAACATATTTTTAACATTCTAAAGCTATTTGCAATAAACGTTTGAAGAATCATATTGCATAAATTATTTGTAATTTTATAATTTAGAGTTTTTTTAATGTAATCCAATAATTTATCTTTGATAATTTTATTTTATTAATTAGACATATTGAATAAAGTATTAGCTGAAAGTAATTAGAAACATAAGTCATCTAAATCAACTATATCACTACAATCCATAATTCTTATTAATAATTCATAATTGCCTTAATTTGGTATGATCCATTTTTCAATTATACTATTTCCTTTACGCCTTATAATGATATTTTTATTCGAAAAATAAGTTTGTTGTAGAGAAAAACAAAAATTCTATAAACAAAGTTTACATTAATAAGTTGAATGAACGACTTATCTTCAATTATATTTGTTATATTAACTTTTCTTAAAAAGAATTGAAATTTTACAGCTTAACTAATTAATGTTGTTAGTAATTCAGAAGGGTATATGATGATCTACGGGACATCGTCCAGCTCAATTTTACAGT